ACATTTTTTCTTCCAGGACAGGCAGACAAAAGTCTCATCCTTCTTTGTGTTTTTGTTTAAGATGTGCATTAACCCTTATTTTCCCAACAGCTGCAGACGTTCTGGCATGTGAAATGGACAACAACAAAGAGAGAGAGAGGGGTTCAGATAGTTGAACATTTTTGATAGAAGGATTTGAATATGTTCTGACTGACTGGACTGACTTGGTTAGTAACTGGACTGGATCGGAACCATGGATCAGGACATGAGAGAGATGGTGTAAGTACGCAGCATGCCAGAGAGAGGGTGCAGAGATTGTGAGCTGCATGTTTTGTTCCCGGCTGAAGGCCATTCTGGTGAGCTCTGGGTTTGTTTTAATTCCTCTCTGGTTCTGATATGACCTATGAGGTAGAGATGGATGTGGTGGTTTGAAGCTCACAGACTTTTGTTGGGGTGGAACATTAAGAGCAGTCATGCTGACAGAGGCATTTAACGAATGACAAGATGAACCAACAACTATTTGGAGAAGTCGGAGGCACCAATGGGGTTTTTGTTGTCTTACATGTTTGTCGTTGTTTGTGTCTGTATGTTTGTTTGTTTTCTGTTTTCTGTTTGTTTACTAACATCTTAGCCTTTATGAAAAAAAAAAAAAAAAAAAAAGTGACGTGGCACGCATGTTAAATTTTTTTTTTTAATAGTTTTGACTACACTACGGATGGAAATGTTTCAAAATGAACAATGGATCTTTTTTGTTTGGAGAGACATTGGACACTTTCTTTCTTGAGTCGCAGGATGGATTAACCTACAAGGGGCACAGAGACTAACTTTGCTCCTTAACTTCAGAAGGAGGGATGGTTTGCAGCTGCTGAGATGCGAGCATTAAGGAAATGACTGGATGCCCACTGCTTCAGATGAGAAATAAACACTGGCAGTGATGGGTTGATGGAAGGTCATGGGATCATCGGACAAGACGGATGAGAAAAAAAAGATAAGTGAACTGACACACCAGATTTCTTATTCACAATGAAAAACTATGGGCAACTTATTTTAAACCTGTTTAGTAATACAGATCTATGAATATGAATAATATTTTTGCTTTACGGGGATCAACAGGTAGATGTAATATCTTTCTGAACAACGCAGCAGTAGTTTGGGGATTATTATTACTATTATTGCTTTATTTATTTATTTTCTTAAAGAGAAATATCAGAAGCGATGGCAACAACATAGAATATAAATTGTAGGAGTAACTTTACCGACAGATTTTAAATGGTCTGCTAAATTTTCTTTATATCATCAGGGGGTGGGGTATTCTTACATAGAGGAATAAAAAAGAGGATTTAGAGATGTTTTACTATGTGATAAATTAGACTGGGTTTTTTGATAAATAGTTTGGTCAGTTGTTAATTAGCATAATATTATTAAAGGGACAACAAGTTGAAACTTTAACTTTTGGGAATGGTAAAGTTGCATCAACAGAATGCAATTTAGGGGAAATTATAACATTTTAGGAGCAAATGTTTAAAGCAAATGATGGTTTCTTTCAATATAAGCAATAACGATGAAGACTTATAGTGTTAATGAGCTTATGGCGATTCAATATCAGGCCCGGGGACTAAAACTTCACCATTTATTTTATCTTTTTATTTTACTTTATTTGTTTTGATTAAGTTTTTTGTTTGTTTTTTTTACTACGAACAGAGTTATAGATAGCATTTGAGGGGCTATATACAATTTGGGGGATGGGTAACCATAATTTTTATGCATGAAGCAATAAGAACACCTGACTTTACTTCACTACAGCGGCAATTAATACTTTAGAGGGGATGCACACTTTAGTGTTTAGTTTATTTGAGATAACACATATAAGAAGAGATTATGTTTCCTGCACATTTTTTGGATCTGGTCAGGGGTCCAGATATGACAACTATTGACTGGTTCTGGGGATGTTGGAACAGATTTTTTTTGTTTGTTTTTATTTTGTTCTTTGTTTTTGTTTTGTTTGTTTTTTTTTCCTCATCGGAGCACTGCTTTTTGGAGAATATTTTAAATGGACTATAGCTGGACACTTTGCATAGAGGGGGTGCAGTCGAATTCAACACCTTCAAGAACTGTGTACTGCTGAGTTTTGGGAACGCAGCAGCAAGTCAGAGTACAATCCTGTGCTCTGAGCAGATGAACATTTCAATATGACATTTCTTCTTGAAGGGAGGAACACCTTTGACGCACTGTTTCCTTCTACCTCTATGTGATACTGCTGATGACACAGGTAAAGACTTATCCTTCAGGGGGTGTGGGGACACAGGGCCCCAAGACTCTTATGGTTCAAAGCTGCTGTGGTAACAGAGGGAAACCTGATGGACTTGTCCGCACATCGAACTTTTTTGCATGTTGGAGAGGATCACTGCTCCAAGATACAGTTTTTCTTCCAAACCAGTAGCGGGATGGCTCCTGACCAGTTTCCCACGTATAGATCCACTCACATAGACACACACACATACACTGTCACGTAACAACACGCCCACACACGGTTAACGACTGGAAGAACACACAAGGGTCCACATGGGAATGAGGTTTTCTTTCATGCACTAACATTCACGGATACAAGGTCTGGTGGGGGAGTTTTTAATAGGGGGAATCTGCGCCAAGCTGGGGTTTTTCCTTAGAGATTAAAGAACTTCTAATAATTTTCTGGGGAGGGTGTAGCAGTAAACTAAAATGCAGTTACAAGTTTAGACGAGACTAAAACTTAATATGCTATGATGTAGAAATGGTTTTAAAATTCATTTATTTAATCCATGAATTGAGTGTTACAATGTGTAAAAAAGGGTTAAATGTTTTCTAAATATTTACAGGTTCCTTGAATTAGATTATATTAGTTGCAGTGATTTTGAGCTTATATGAACAAAAAATGATGAGCTGAAACATCCATAGGATGTTCAGGCTGAATACATACTGGTATAAACACCTTTCAACTGCCAGGCATTGAAAGGTAGGTTATGTTAAATGTTTAATGTTTTTGGGGATTTCTTTTTATTTTTTGTTTTTTGAATAGACACTGAAATAATCTGCTGAAAAACCACAGAGTCCATGGATAATTAATTTAAATGTTGTCAGTTTAATGGTGATTTAAGGGATAAGGGAAAGTAATTGTGGATAAGAATATCTGGTTGTGACTGCACTTAGATTTTGAGTGAATAAAGAATTGCTCATTGAAGACATTGTTTATCGTGATAAGAACACTGACTGCACTCTCTGTGTGTCGAAGGATCCAGGAGGAAAGGATTGATGAACTGTGATGAGAACAGTCCAGGAGAACCACCACATGGATTCAGCATCTATCTGCCATTGGACTGCATGGAGACCAAAGTGGCTGTGGAGGAGGCCATACGAGACTCTGATTGAATAATTAGATTGATGAGTGATAGAGACACTGAAAGAATCCATCATCATCAGTGATATTCATAATTTGTTTTTAACTCGGACCAGGATAATTCTTTATTTTACCTAATTGTGATGTATATGTTTTGATTTATTTTGATTTGGTTTTGATGAAAATCATGGAGACATTTTGCTCCAGACCCACCAAGATCACGTTTTATGCCACTTTTTCTTTGATGTAGGAAGACTCTGAACCTTACAGGTTCTTTAAGTAGTTGGTAATGATAATTATCAGATTCAAAACGGGGTTTTCTTGCTCAGATTGGCCGAGAGCGGGATTTCCCCGGGGTCACCCCGGTTTTTACTACCTTTTAGAGAGGGTAGCGTTTTCCGGTGGAGAACGGCCCAACCTGTCCTGTGACGTCCCCTACTGTGACTGAATGATTGGTAAAGTTGGATAGATGGTTTATCCATGAGGAGCGGTCACGTTTAGGAGGCCTCCAGGTGGGAGTGAGAGTAGATGAATTTGGCCTTATTAGCTTTATAGGCTTAGGTTATCTAGGCTAAGGTAACTTAAAATAATGTGCGCATAGGAAACTAAAACAGCTTTCCTTTAATTAGATGACACCCAAATTGTAGTTAAATGCTGAAACTGTGGTCTTGAGTGAGAACATTTGGTCTGTGAAGCTTTGATTGTGATTACTTTTGATCCCTAATTAATGATACATGACTAATTATAGATGCTCTCTGGGTCACCCGGTCCTTCAAAGATGTGTCGCTTCTTGTGTTTTTAAGTTACCTGTAAAAACGGTAACTTATCAGGGGGAGTTGTTAGGTTTTATTATTTATACATCATGTGCACTGTTAATTTGTTAGTCTGATTAGACAGAGCAGAAGGCCTTCCTTCACATTGTGGATGTCGTGGTGTGTACGGAGGTCATCTAATCAAGACAGCCTTCGTGTCTCTAAGAGTACACAGGATATGGGCACATCTTGGAGCCGGACTGATAGGAGAGAGCTGCTGTATCTGTAACCCTGAGACAGAGAGGCAACCTGCATGGAGTTCAAGACATGGATGGCGTGTCAGTTTCTGATACGGACAGCTAAGCATCCACATGATGCAACACATAGACTCACAAGGTATAAAAAGCAGGTGATGACCTTGTTCGGGGCTCAAACTTTGCCGGACGCTTGCGGACGTGATTTTTGAGACCACAGCTGTGTATAGCTCTAAGCATTTTTCTCTGTCCTGTAACGACCTGATCTAGAATAAACTCTGTTACTTTTTTACTCCTGTTTTTATAGTCCTTTTTTATAAGGTTTTAAGAGTAGTAAATAACTTGCTCCCAGGAAAAGAACCGTGTGAGGAGGCCCCGGGGCGTTACCGCCTTTACTTTGAAGGGGACAAATCCTTCTCACTTTAACAACTCCTATCAACCCAGATCAGATTACCTTCTAAAGGTGTTAGTTAACTGAGTTATTTATAAATATATTTCTGCATATATCAATTACCAACAATGCCCCTCCTTAAAGTAGTAAAAATAATACTTTCTAATCATTGTTGATGATAAATGGAAGCTAATTTTTAAAAAATGTTTTCTGTTTTATTGGCGAATCTGCGCATGCGTGGTTCAGTTTTGTGCTCGACAGCAGCGATGCTCGATTGATTTGGGCTGCTAAAAATGGTGGCGAAGTGTCAACCCTAGGAATTATCTGTCGCTATTTTTAATAACAGTGATCATTTTGATCATTAATAGTTTAATATCAGGATGGGATTAACACAGAGCTCAGACGCTCCTGAGGGAGGGACCTACGGATACCACGTTCACGGAGTAAGACTGACTGAGTGTTAGCTTAGCTGGAGATATGCTAACAGTTAGCTAGCTTCGGCTAATGAGCCTTTAAAAAACGATGAGGTGGCATTGTTTACCCGTCAGCCTGATGGTACAAAGTAATTGACTGAAAACAATTAGTGCAGCCGTTTTTATAAGGAAAAAGCCGGAAATAATGTAATTTGTCTTACGATAACTTTAGCTCATAGACAAATCAGAGAGGATAGATGTTTCCTAGACAGACATTCACTTCAGGCAGTTATGATGTAGCAACACATAGAATATGAACTTTATTTATTCTTTATTGCGTTATTATGACTATTTCGGACAATTAACTGATTTAACATGTATTTTTTAACTGGCATTATCACACCAAATCAAGCTTTTTAAAGGTATCAGACTGTAAGAGAAAGTTAGCAGTATATTAATACAATGAATCTATTGTATTATTATTTTTAAGATCTCCTTAAAGAAGGTTTTAATACGGTTCATAGACATCGGCTGGAATTCTTTAATAAAAGTTGCGTTTAATTTATCTTGTTTTGTTAAATTCACAAATAAATTAATGTAATAAACTAATATACTATAATAAGTAAATGTAAATCAATGCAAACAGTATATTTGTAAACTAGATATATATAATATCCCTGAAACCTTCCTGTGTATCCAGACTTTTAATGTTTTTGCTTAGTTCGGAATGCCTCTTTCTGTTTGTTAAATGGTATTTAGTTTAAGATACATTTTCTAACGCTTTTTTGAGACATATCCTTGGAGTTTTAATGTTTAAATTTAACTTAACTTGGCATTTTATTTGGTTTTATCATAAAATAATCTACAGTAATTTGCTGCAGATTTGGCCCTCTCCTCCTGACAGAACTGCTGTAACTGAGCAGAGATTAAAGGAATAGTACACCCAAAACATGATTAGCCTTCATTTTCTACTCACCCCCATGCTGAACAACACTCTGGAGTACTTTTTTGATATCTCAAATGCATCTGGAGATCTGGGAGGCTTCTTGCTGTCTGCTGACATTCAAATAATGGAGGTCTATGGTGCCCGAGGCAGAAAGGTCCATAAAAGTCCACAAAAAACGTGTCAATATTGCTCGTCCAATGTATTCCAAGTGTCCTGAGTGGGTAGCATCCAGAATTTACTCAAAACGAAGTCATTTAGAATGTTTTTAGAGCATAAACAGTGGTGTATAGGATTTCCTGAAAGCGCGCGCCAGCGCGTTCAGGACGCTACGGAAGCCGGCAGACCAAACCAGATGAAAGTGCGCATTCAGCGTCTGCTCTGCCGATAATGCAAGCGTAGAAGAAGAAATGTGCTGTTTACCTGTGCAAAGAAAGAAACAACGAAAGAAAAATGTCTGAGGACTTCAGTGTTGAGGAAGAGCATGAGTTCTTTGCCGAGCTGAATGCGCACTTTCGTCTGGTTTGGTCTGCCGCGGTTTCCGTAGACTCGTGAACGCGCTTTTAGGAAATACTATACACTACTGTTTATGCTCTAAAAACATTCTAAATGACTTTGTTTCGAGTAAATTCTGGATGCTACCCACTCAGGACACTTGGAATACATTGGACGAGCAGTATGGAGGAATATTGACACGTTTTTGTGGACTTTTATGGGCCTTTCTGTCTCGGGCACAATAGACCTCCATTATTTGAATGTCAGCAGACAGCAAGAAGCCTCCCAGATCTCCAGATGCATTTGAGATATCAAAAAAGTACTCCAGAGTGTTGTTCAGCATGGGGGTGAGTAGAAAATGAAGGCTAATCATGTTTTGGGTGTACTATTCCTTTAAGGTTAGCTCTGCCAGACTGGATGTTATCATAACCACTCTAAAACACAAACTTTGTCTTCTTTAGGACATTTTTATAAATAATTAAATGTTATTTTTAGTTTTTAATTAAGTCTTTGCCAAGCAAATAAAGCGGGGCTGGAACTAACGATTATTTTGCAATCGGTCAAATATATTTTTTTCCTGATTAATTAATTAATAATCGGATAGCCAAAGGTTCCTTAACGAAAACATTTTACAACATCAAATCAGGTGAAACTAAAACTTTTCCACTGGAGAAGTTCTGGATATTGAATAATAATGGATGAAAAAGATTTGTTTTATCTTAAATGCAATATTTTTAAATTTTTTTTTTTTGACAATTCTGGTATAATTACTTCTCTAAGTGGCTCACTTTCAGCTAAAAGCATATTTTAGAGTGTCTATACTCCAGCGATTGCTAAATTAGTTGATGATTATTTCAATAATCGATTAATCTGATTAATTAATTATTGGACTGTTCTCCCTGCTGCCTTCTGGGAAGAGGCTTCAAAACATTCAATGCAGGACCAGCAGGTTCTGCAACAGCTTTTTCCATGCTAGCATAAGACATTTGATCTCACAAAACGAGACTCCGCATCACGCTTATAAACATCATATTTGCACTACATGGCAAAGTTTTCAAATCCCTTTAAACAGAACTCAGCTCAATGTTTCTACTGCTGCACTTTAAAAATGGAAATGTTCATTTTACAGTTGTAAGCTGCTCATTCACGGTTGAAAATCTGTATGCATCGAAAGTGAAAGAGAAAGTTTGTCTAAGTCTTAATTGTTTCAGCCCTAAACTAAAGCACATCTCAATTTGACGGTTAAATGAAAAAGTGTTTTTTATCACAGAAATATATCTGAATAGTCTCTGCCTGGAATGATGTTGGATATTTTATGATCAATAAGTTCAAAATTTTGCTAATTTCTCCGCTGTAATAAAAGTTCATTACCATATTCCCAAAACTATCATTAATGTTTAACTCGTAAGTAAAGTTTATAACTTTTTTATAGTAAAATAGTGGTTTTAAATAACTTGTATAAGTGAATCTCCACATTTCCACTCAGTGTAAAATTTAATGACAGTACAGAAGTTTATTAAATGCTTAGCTTCAAACAATATTGAATGATGTTAAAGGATTTGTTTCAGATACAGGCTATAATATAGTCAGAGGTTGCATTTATGTGTTTTACTATGATTAAGACATTTGAAAGGATGCTTACGCTTTACCCAGGAGCAGTTTTAATGTGAGCTTTTTTTCTTTTGTTGTTACAGGTGCAGCCTAATTCTCCTGCAGAAAAAGCAGGACTGCAGTCCTTCTTTGACTTCATCCTGTCTCTGGACAACAAAAGACTTGTAAGTTTGCAAGCAGCCTGCCAAGCAGACCTGAGCAGGTTTTCAGTATCCTACAGTACCTGAGCAGATAGGCTAAATAATTACACAGCTATTATCAGCTTTTTATACACCAGTTGTATAATGCTTTAAATTACTGTTGTAAAAGTTGAATTGAATGCAAAGGTTTTACTGTTTGGACCCACCTGTGATCTCAAATCAGCCTATTTGTTTTATGTGATTCATGATGCATAAACATGGATTATTGTACTGAAGGTAGGGTAAGAATGTTGTTACAAAAATCAGCTTTATTTCCGTCTATCGCTATGTGTGCCAGAGGGAGGAAAACGAGCAGCTAAAGGAGCTCCTGAAAGCCAACGTGGAGAGAGCTGTGAAGATGGAGGTGTACAGCACTAAAAGCACGCGGGTCCGAGAGCTGGAGGTGGTGCCCAGTAACATGTGGGGAGGCCAAGGTCTGCTGGGCGCCAGAGTTCGCTTCTGCAGCTACCAAGGAGCCAATGAGAACGTCTGGCACGTGCTGGTGAACTGGATCCTATTTTTACCCCCAAAAAAGCATTTTGCTGACTTATTTGGCTGATTAAATTCAACATTAGACATTTTAAAAGACTTCTTATCATAGAGTACCCTTTACACTTTAAGTCCAAACCTATTTCTCCTAGGATGTGGAAGCCAGCTCCCCGGCAGCACTGGCCGGTCTTCAGCCCTACGGAGATTACATTGTTGGAGCAGATCAGGTGTTGCAAGATGTAAGACTCCTTTAAGACTCTATTTTTATTACATATCAGTCTAATGTTGGTCGATGTGATGTGCTGCAAGGGAGTAGCTAAAAAACAAATATGATTTACAGTCGGAGGACTTCTTCTCACTAATTGAAGCCCATGAGGGAAAGCCGCTGAAGCTGCTGGTGTACAACACACAGACAGACAGCTGCAGGGAGGTGATGGTCACACCAAACGGAGCGTGGGGTGGAGAGGGCAGGTATGGGACATGTTAATGTTTTATCAGATAAATAAGGCCTGTGTTTAAGAGCATTTTGTCCTATGATTACACAAATCCAAATAGCTTTTAAATCTGTTTTTAGTTTGGGCTGTGGCATCGGTTATGGCTACCTGCATCGCATCCCAGTCAACCCAGAAGTGTCAACAATGGAGCCCTCCGTCGCTGTTACAGAGGGGAAACCCTCCCCACAGGAGCCAACACACGGGTACACAGAGGTGAAGATTTAGGGCTATATAGCCTCATAGTTACAACTTTTGGTTTCCAGTTTCAGATCATAGCTTAGAGGGTGGTAGAAAAACAACAATATTTTTTTTTAAGGAACTACAAGAACGAGAGGTTTTCTATTTTACTGTTGCAGATCATTTATATATTTTACAGGCAAAAAAGGATTGAAAAACCCTTTATTCTTATTGCCTCTTTTCTTTCCCTGCTCCTCATGAAAGACAGTATATAAATCAGCCCATTATCAGCGCTGAGGAAGCTCTAATCACAAGTACGGTTGTTTAGACAAGTGAAAAACCAGGATGAATAGGAGTTTAAACTTGACCATGATGTAGTTTAGAGGCATTAACTTGGAGACCTATCAGCTCAGCACCCTGATGGTGGTTCTGCCAGTGCTAAAAGGTGGCAAATGAATGATTTTGTCAAAATCCCAGTTTCAAAAGATGTAAATTCTTGTAGCATTCATATAGGCTTAAATTAGACCTAGACTTGGACAACTTTTGTTGTCATTTTGTTTACACAGAGTGTAAAACAAGACGAAATTTCATTTTGTACAGCTTTCATTTTGCTCAGACACCGAGGAACAAAGCACACTGCTAAAGCTAATCTTGTGGTAACTATAAGTTAGAATGTGGAGACGTTAATTATTGATCAAGCTTTATAACACAATCTGTGTAAAACAGCAAGTAAATAGGAGAGGATTTTTTTTTTTAACTAGAAAAACTTTCTGCTCATGAACAACAGACCCTGTTAGATGTTGACTGATTCCCGATACCCCAAAAGCTAATTTTACTTTATTTTGATCGGTTTTACGACTTTAAGTACATTTTAATAGTTTGATAATTGTTAGGCAGAAGGTTTTATGTATAAAAACACTGATTGGTTGCTAAGACTTAAGACTTTCCTGACCCATTCACTTTGACAAATCTTTTCCATTCCACAGGTAATGTTTAATGAAAACAGCAGCACTGTCAGATGTGGCTGAACTGTTAAAAATATTCCCTTCAAAAATATCTCATCTTTACATTTTATGTTTTAGACCAGGGCTTTCCAAACATTTTAGTCTGTGAACCCCTTTTTATCTATTTATACGTATAAAGTTAATCAATTATGTTCATTTTTAAATGTCTGTATATTTAAAATGACATCTAATCATTTAATTCATCATTTAAATGGATTTGTAATTTCATAATTAAACATTTAATTATTTAATGTATTTTGCAGTTTATTGGTATATTTAATATTTTGTTCTAGATAAATAAATAAATGTTGCATTTACTTATGGGAGCCCTGATCTAGACAGCTTTGGCTCAGTTCTCGATTTTTATTTTATAAAAAAAAAAAAAAACATGTTTACAATTACTTCTCAGCTTTTTATGCTTCATATTTTTGAGATTGTGTTTTCTGATTATAAAATATATTTTCCCCATATTGTTATCTTGTAACTGGTAATCAAATGTAAATCGACACATTCTTCTAAGCATTAGAAATAGTTCAAGTTTTTATGTAAATATCAAAAGAACAGTATTGCTGAGGTATTGCGTTCTATATCCAGAATGATCATTGTTGTTTTAGGCACCTCTGATGGCACCATCAACCCCTAGTGAAGAGCTGTTAGATGTGGAGCCGATCACCCTCCAGGACTCTGTCCTCTCTCCACCAAATCAGACGGCAGCAGAACCTGGTTTGTTCAGATTACTGTTATTTCTTTCTGATCTAAAAGTGGCAGGACTGCAGGTATCTCTCAGGAATAACGTAAAAACTCATCCCGACATGCTTGCAGGTTTATCTGATTCTGATGCAGCTGTGACGAACCCTGACCCTGCAGATGTTTTGGACCGGCTGGATGTGTCCACGTCATCCATCGACATGACCAACACATCACTGGCGATGCATGAGGAAAAGGAGGGAGACATATCTGGTATTGGTATGTGACCACACAGGTTATCACAGAAGAATTGTTTATTTGTAAAATAAGGAGCATTAATGGGATTTTTCTGCTGTACAGAGGAGCTGGAGGACAGCGCTCTGCCTTCATCTACAGAGAACCACAGTGAGCTGCCAGAGCACGTCTCCCACCCTGCGGCTGTGGAGCTCACTGCTTCTCTCACTGCTCCTGACACTTTGTCTGACTCTGGAGTCGCTCCAGCTGAAACGTCTTCTCTGTGCTCTGAGTCTGCAGACCCTCAGAGCTTCCTCATTGAATCCAGTGGAAGTCCCAGTCCACCTCTGGGTGTGTTGTATCTCCCTGAGGACCCTCCTGGTCCGTCTTCACTAGACCTGATCCCAACCCCAGCTGCTGACGAGGCACCTTCAGACCAATCGCAGGTCTCTGCTGACATGCAAGCAGCTGTTTATGAGTCTGAAGAGCCTGTACCTCATCAGAGTAGTGAGGAAGAAGCAGAAAAAAACTCATTCTGATTAAGCTTTCAATTTGGTCATATAGAGACAGCACTATTAATTATGGCTTAGACAATCAATAATTCAATTTGTTTTTTTCTTTTAAAAAAGCCATACGTTGCTGTGCAAAAGCATCACATTTCTTCTGTTTTTTTTTATTTTATTTTTATTCTTTTAGATAATTCATCAAATGTTGCTAAGAAATAAGAGATAAACAGAGTAAATACAAACCACAGCCTTCAAAAAATTAAATTTAATAAGGATAAAGCCTATCCACATTAACATGGCCCTTTCAGTCAGCTTCCTTTATTTATTTAACAGATACATTCTCTTCCTGGGATCCGTGAAAATCCCAGATCGCCAATCCAAAGCAGGACTATGCAAATGTGCCACCGCTCACACTGTCACTCCGTTCTAAGAGCAATTAGGCATGGTTTCTGGACTATGTGAGGATGTTCTTGCTCCAGGGAAGCAGAGCTAACTAACCCTACGACCATTATGGTATATGTTTCAAGAGTAAGAGAGAACTGGACCAAATGGTATCCAAGGTAACAAGATAACAAACATCTTTTGGTCAAATTTTTTTTCCAAAAGTGTCTTTATCACCAAGATTTTTAGGAAGATATTCTGTAGTTATGAGAATATCTTAAGTGGAACTTTTGAAGTTGTACGTCTTATTTGATCTGGTGTAACATTAATGCAGATCAAAGAAGAAGAGAGTGTCATACCTACAGTCAACATTGGGTGTTGTCAGTTTGATGGTTTTTCAACCACTGGACGTTTTGCTATAGCTGATAAAACCAGGAATTCTGCTCCGCAGCAGAAAGTCCTGATAGAGAACATCAGGCTGGCAGCTCCTGCAAATGCGTTAAGGTAAAAATAACCTGAAGCACATCACCAGGCCCATCAGTAAATTGCTAAAAACATCAAAGAGTTAAGTTTTCAGTGTCCAAGTTGAGGCAAAAAATCTCCAATGTGGTGGAAATAAAACATTAATATAAAAAAATGGGCCAAATTCCTCTTGAGCAAAAATTAAAATGCTCTTTGTATTTACTCAGTTTATCTGCAAAAACAAGACTTTATTTTTATTTATTTTTTACAGAACCATGTGTAGGAATTAAGACTGAAACTGTCTTCCCTGATTGCTGCACCACTAAACTGGTTACACTACATGTAAAAGCTGAGACTTTAATAGAAGAGAGTCAATATCTAGAGGTACGTTTATACGAAATTAAGTTACTGAGTTTTCTTACTTGTAGCCCTAAATAATGTTTGTTTGGTTGGAAAGCAGAGAACACAGGTTTTAAAAACTTTGAGAACACTGAGGAGAAATTACTTGAACAGTTCAAACGAAACAGAACTACTGCAAAGCACAGCTGCACCCGTTGATATCAAACACCCGACTTTCTTGACACTACTAGACTGCTGGCTGGGTCGATCGGTGCGCTGTACTATCCCTCCTTGTGTTTTTGAAGGAGCTTTGTTTATTAAGCTATTACTCTGAGCTTTAATCATTAAGCATGGGACACTTTTATTTGATGTGCCCTGTTGTTGGGATTTTAAAGGGCTTTTACTACAGTGACATTTCGGTCATATAAGGGCTGCTGAGGGCAAATTTTCTCCAAAATACTTTCTTTTTTTTTTCTTCCTGTGGCCCTAATCATCTTCCGTACATTTGAGATGTTTTTGTTATATTCACAAAATGTTTCACACCACCTCTGACAAGGCTTATATGTTTAAGAAAAATGTTTTGCTTTTAATTATTTTAGAACGTTTTTCCGCTGCGTAGCTTTTAGATATTTTTCTTTGTGTAAAGCTAGCTCTTAGCATTTTTTTCTTTAAACAGAGATGCACTGATGAATGGTTTATAACTGGAATTAAATCTGTAAACACAGTATCATATCATTAGCAGATGTTGAAATAACTCTCCAGTGTGGAAGTTGTCACTGAGGGAGCAAGACTGGAGGTTAGCTGTAGGCTTTACGAATGATGCATGATTATTCAGGCTGCTATGATGGAAAGTGAGTCTAGACCCATTGCTGGTCATCGTTTACCCTGCTTCCTGTACACGGCGTGATATTCCTTTTAGACTCAACTTAATGTTTCGTCATCTTCAATTATGTTGTGGTTACTGTGGCGTGCCTTTGGTTAAATCAGGCTGAGAGAGAGCAAGATTTTGAGCAGATAACAGGAAGGGTAAATATATTCTTTGAGCCTAATGAATACGTTGAATTTTGAAGCACTGACTTGAGAGAAGGACTCGCATGGCCTCAGGGAATACACAGATAATTTGTTAAAGCGGGTAAAAAAAACAAAAGTTTGAACTACCTTAATATTTTGTGTGCAATTTAAATAAGAACATTTTACAGCGACTCCTCTTTTTATTAGGTGAGAACGCCTCTTACTGCTCTTGTAATAATGGACCAATCGAGCCAGGCCCAGGATGTTTTAAAGTCTCAAATCTGTACCAGAAGCTCGGAGCTTTAGCAAAAAACCTGAAATTAAGAGTAAAACCTCTCATCTGTGCATCTCTACTGTTGGGCATCATTAAGAGCGTTTGCTGATTTAGTCTATGCAAAAGTGTACAGACTGCACAGTTAGTCTAATGTATTTTTGATGAGTAAAGAGAATACTTTTGTAAGTTGAAGTCAGAGATTATTGAAGTACTTTTGTTTTCTTTGTGGGGCTTAATTATCTTTGAAGTAGGTGCTTCATGTAATGGTTGATATTTTATGGAGATTTTTGTTTTGTTTTGTTAGGAATGACTAAAATGAATGTGGAATGGGTGATCCTGATTGTTAAACAATCAAATTAAAAGGAAAATAAAGTGTCCCTTGTTTTTATTTCACACATCAGCTGATCACATTACAGCCCAACAAACATCCATTTCTCATCTCCATAGATCTGTCATTCTTAAGACCATAATTTATTTCTTTGAATGCCTAAAATATACATATTTCACAATTTATTACAAGGAATTTTGCAGTATGGTCTATGGTCTATATGGTCTATATGGTATGGCCTAATTCAGGAACAAATTCTATACGTTTTCTCCATTTGGCCAATCAAGAGCTCGCTCTGTGTTTTCCTTTATGGCGTTAAACACTCGTATGATGGCAAAATTAAATCCAGATTTACAGTGAAAAAATCTCTGAAACCATGAGCGTATTTTTAATTTGGGTGAGATTCCCACAGTGGTTGGATGCTCCAAATGCTCTTCTGTTGAGATGCCTCTTCAAGTTATACTCTTATTAAATCTAAATGACATATACACTAGGAAGTCCTCACGGCTGTCAAAAGTCACTGCTTGAGTTAAGATATATACCTTATATTTGTTTACGATTCCTAAGGTGACTTGGAAAAACTAACATATGTCGGCGTAAACCGTGTTGCAGTGAACACAACTGACACAGTTCTTAAAAACCAAGTTAAGTTACCTCCATTTTTAACAATGTGCTCTGGCAATTTGAGAAAAAAAAAAGTTTTTACAGCAACTGTACAAAAAAAAAAAAAAGCCGCTGTTAATCCCCAACGCTTTATCTCAGCTGGGTTAGCGGGGGGTACCCCAAAACTCAATGAAACCAAAATATATTTACAGAAAAAACAAAGAATCCCCCCAACAAAAAAAAAAACATTCATTCATGGAGAACAGAGCTAAAAACAAAGACAATGGTTCCTGTCAGTGAGGCGTCTGAACGGTGGGTCAGTTCAAGTGAAGATGGCCGACATAGAGCAGCAGAGCGGATGAAGATATCTTTTTTTTAATGCGATGCTAACCAGAAACCAGGGTTAGGGTTACTGCCGCAAAGTGTGTAGAACAAGGAGAGGTTCTGGAATGTACTAGAGCCAACAGTTACACATCCATACACACACACACACTCAGAAACGGACTAACTTCGGCTGCTTTGAATTAAATGCCAAACAGGCAACGATCAAAGGAACGGAAAACTAAAATTCCAAAGAAAAAGGGAAAACCAGTACGGACCGCTTGTTTCCCAGGAGTGTGCGGGCTCTGCCCGAGTGTTCTGATCACTAACATACATCACGGGTCATGTCCTCAGGAGTTTATTGGTTTCTCACTGATACTGTGACTCTTGAGCGCGTGATGGGGTTCAGGGAACAACATGTTGGAGGTGGGTGGTGATTGGCAAATGACAGTTCTGCTTGTAAAAATGACATATTTCATGTAGACTTCTGTCTATAGTGAAGTGTCAAGTCCCCGCCACTCTTCCAGATAAAATGTTTAACTGTCCGCAGGTCCATGTTGGGGTCGAGAACCTGTTAAAAGGCAGATAAAGACGCGGAAATGTTACTGAAAGGAAATGTTTCCTTCAACAAAGGAGAAAAATAAAAACATTTAAAAAGAGAGGGCTGTCCATACCTGGTCCTGACACATCAGCTCAATCTTCTCCTCAGCAAGCATGGCCATGTCCTCCTCCTTCTCCTGCTCCCCAGGCTTATCGTTGGCCGTGGAGCTGGTGGTCTGCGACTCATTGTCCAAGTTTATAATCTTCTCGTAAACATGCTCCATCACCTTCCTCACCTGGAGCATATCACTAGCCGAGAGACGGTCCCTGTAAGACAAAAAGTGGGAATGTAACAGAGTCTGGATGTTAGCTGGTCCAACTCTGGACAGGAGGTCTGGTTTAAACGCTACTTGGATGGATAAAAATCACAGACTTACTTTTTTAGAGTTTTTGCACCAGAAGAAGAATGTGGTTGGAGGTAGAATGGGATTTTGTTGAACTTGGGCATATTTTTCTGAAACAGAAGTAGAAGAAAAACACATTAAAGTCACAGAACGGCGACTTTAAATGTCGGGTTGTTTCAAATATTGTTTCCATAATGTTGGACAAGAACAGATGGGTCCTCGAAAAGCTGGCAGGCTTTAGGGTGTTCCAGCTTTCATATAAGAACGCACATGGATATTATCACTAGTAAAGCTAGACACTCCAATTCTGCTGGGAGTGAAGGATGTTTACAGCAGTTTAAAATGTCAACTCTGTGATAATCTTCGTTTAAAAACTGGACAATTTACATCAGCTCTTAAAATGAACACATCACTTCTGATCATAAGGTTAAAAATTGTTTAAAATGCTCTGTTCTGGTAAATAAAAAAATAAAAAAAACGGTAGTATAAATTAAAATTGATCTGAAAGGTAGAAAAATGAGGATTTGACACAAAATGAAGCAGCAATACTCACATCTACAGTTATATCAATGACCCACTGTGGGACCGTCTCATTGAGCAGCATGGACTCTGTCTCTCCACCTGAATCTCTACATAGCAGCCTGTAAGAGAAAAACAAAGCTTATTTAGTGGAAGTCCATCACCTTAACATCACAGCCCCCCCCCTCACAATGTGAATTAAACTTGTTTTTTTTGTTTTTTGTTTCTACCTAAATAGAGTTCTTCCTCCCGCTTCTCCGAAGATAACAGGCGTGTGGTGTGGAACCTGGAAATATCCGTTTCCTTTCTGCACCCTGTTCTCCTGCTCTCCGTTCACTAAACGATTCAGCAAAACAACACAAACCTATGATGAGACACTGAGACAGTCGGAGTCCCCAGCCTGTCCGGTTAATGATTAAAACAGTCCTCTCTCTTACCGTGGTTCACCTCGTTTTCTTCCTCATCCATGGGGTTTATCCGGGTTCTGGGCCAGAACTCCAGCAGAGCTTGGAGCAACAAGCCGCCAAGGTTCACTGCAAACAACGAATGAAGAATTTACACAGGGAAAAACCGGGGCACCTGACGTCAACATGGAATAGCTCCCTAACTACTTTCTACGGACAATAGTTCACGTGAGATATCAGTGTGTTTGGACCTGATGTAAACTGTGGAAAACAAGCCCGATCCGCTGAGAAACCGGCACCAAAACCATCCACTGCTAACATCCTAGAAGCTCCTGTAAACTACTATTGTCTCTTCCACTGACTATTCACAACCAAGAGGACAGGAGTAGCTAGCGTAGAATATGTAGTCATGATGTTATGGCTGATTGTTATCATATTAAAAAAAACAAAGACTTACACTTTGGATCAGATCCATCAGAACTTGAAAACCCAGCATCCTTTGCAGACACCCAGGCAGCAAAGCAATCACTCTCATCCAGAGTAATCGTGAGCATCTAATAAAAAAAATATAAATATATAAAGAAATGAAACAATTTCTTCAAGTTAACCAACAAGCTGTGTGAGTTTGCGACGGTGATTCAAGCCAAAGCTAATAAAACAACATACCCCAGTTTTCAGGTCAACGGAGAACCAGTTTGGCACGTAGACCATCTTGAACCGCTTTTTGATTTCTTCATCAAATTCCACTTTCCCCAAGTCTTCACCTTTACAAGCCTTAAAAAAATGAGCCCAGTTTAGATGAGATTATCAGATTCACAGAGGTGTAACACAAAAATAAAGCCTGTTGTGTTTGCCTCAGTCAAGCGATAAACACAAAGAGGCTTTTATTGAACCGACTGCTCTGTAAATAGAAATAAGTTGCCATCACTGACTGAACAAAAAAAACACTAAACCAAATTGACATTGTTGTTTAGGAACGTTTAAAGGGGACTTTCCACAGATTTAAAGATAAAAACTGATTTTAAAAAACAACTCTTGGCCTGCTTTGACATTTAAACAACCTTGTACTCCTTTTCAGGGCAGTATCAGTGTGTTGCTGCATCTCATATAACGTGCAGCGAATGACATGAATGCTCCATAAGGCTGAAAGTTTCTCCATTATGCTGATCTGCACACATTTTCTGTACAAACATTTCTTGTTACTCCCCTACAAATTAAAGCTGCATCTCCTTTAAAGTTTGCCTCCATGGAAAATGTCTGTTAGTCTTAAAGATAAAATTAGTTTCCACATTTTTACTTATAATTTCTAAATGACATGCCATTTTCTTTAAAATGTGTCTGAAAAATAAATCTTTTTTCCCCCTTTAACCTAACCTCTGCTTATATAAATCCCCTCCAGGAAGGTGAGCTGAATTCAAAGTCCAGCCAAATCTAAGCTGTGAAAAATGCTTATAAAACAAGTTAGCTGAACCTGCCATTGTAAACCAGGACTGTAAAACACAGCAAAGGTCTGCAGTCAGTGATTCTACTCAAGGAACAAAATCATCATTAATTTTGAGTATCTGAGAACAAAAATGAAAAAACAAACTTCTTCTTAAGTGAAAAAATGAAAAACCCAGATGTTTTTAAACATTAAATCTTAAAACAGAAGATTTGAAAACTGATCAAAGTGATTTATTTGCCCAGTTTAAATATGCAACTAGAAACCTCCCCATTAACTTTAAAGCCAGAGGGAAAGAAAAAAAAAACAATACAAGAGTCGATGAGTGGATAAAGAAAGAGATCATTAAAACAACAAAAACAGATGAGTGGATGGAGGGAAAAGCAAAAACCTGGATGTTTCAGAGACTTTTAGTTTCAGAAAGATGGAAGGTTGAAGGTGGACATATGGATGAATAGATGGAAGCAACACTTCTGTGCATCTTTTCATCAAAACAGCCTAAAAACTCAATTGGGTTTTGATCAACCCAGTTTTAGATCCCCGGAAATCAACGATGTCAACTATTGAACTAGAAATAATCATAAAAGAACCCTAAATATTCTCTATACTTATTCAGATTTTAAATAGAATAGTATCCTTTCCTGTTTAGGAATGTATGGGGAATCTTTCCAAACACATTTCCCAGAAGTCTAACAAAAATCTGGAATACAGACATCAGTTTGTGGATTACCTTGAGCACATCCCAATATGCCACATTGTTGTTGGTGTCTTTAGTTAGTATGTGTCTCTTGTCATTTAGGATGTGGCACTGTATAATACTGGCACCTCCTGTTTAAAAAAAAGAAAAAAAGAGTTACTATGCCTGAAAATGATCCATGTAGAACTTTCTTTAATGAAATCATTGATAGTTTACCCTTAATAACTTGTTCTGGCTGAGTACACAGTGGAGTCAGAGGGGTGGTGCAGTCATTATCATACTCCCCTGATGATCTGAAGTTGTGCATTCCCTTTAGTGACTAAACATAGAAATGAATTTTTTTTTTTTCCAAAAGCACAAAACCTCATTAACACAAAAATAAAAAAAACACCCCAGAAGCTAAAATATGCCCAGATCGTTGATCGCAGCTCTAACTGGTGTGTGGTAAAATGCAGAAGTTCAGGCAGTTACAGCAGAAATGTCACGCATGCTTACCCATTTATTCACAGATGACTTGGTGGTGGAAACCCAGATCGCAGGAGGTGGGTCAGCAGATCTGTCTAGTTCCATCTGAACAGAAGAGGAAGACATGAAAGTTGAGTGGCTTATGACGCTCATCAAGGACGACAAAGGAGAAAGAGGGGGAACAAAAGTTGACATACTTTAAAGAGACGTAAAACAATAAATAAAGAAAGTTAGCCAACACATATGAGATTAATTCTGTTTCCCACCTTTTCTGTGTAGACAGTAGGAGCAGAAGGTGTTGCCTTTGAAAAACCTTTGATTCCTGTTCTGACTTCTTACCTTCAGCACTGGAGCCTTCTCCTCACAGATCAGCACGCGGATGTCTGGGTTTCGCAGGTCAGTGCAGTAGATTTTCTTGTCTCTGCCTCCGGAATATACATGTGTAAAGGCCTCGTTGACCTGCAGGGCCCAGACGCCTTCATCATGCACCCTGTACGTGGCGATGCACCTCTGCTGGCCGAGCGACCACAGGCGGATGGTCCCGTCTGAGCTACCCGATAGGCACTGTGTGGATCAGAACAACGCACAGGGTTCAAACGAAAGGCTTCTGATGACGACAGCAACACTTTGGGATGGTTTAAGTGAGTCACCTGAGTGCCATCACGATTCAGGAGCAAAGACTTGACGTTGTCTGTGTGACCCTTTAGCTTCATAAGCTTTGCACACGTTCGAGGATCCCACACTCTCAAAACCTGGAGCAGAAAGACAGAAAAAAAAAGGATTAATTCAATTGAAGCATCTCAGCAGTTCAGGAGATTTTGAATTTCGGTTTTAAGTTTATTGAAACTCTTTGACAACATTTTATATTATATATATATATGTGTGTGTGTGTGTGTGTGAGTGTATGCTGAACTATATTTCCATCCATCTTATCTCATCATGAATGTGTATATTAAACTCAGACCTTTTCAGTAGATCCAGAAACAATAACTGTTCCCATCTGGTTCATAGCCAGGCTATAGATGGAGTCCTTGTTCCCGCTCAGGGACGAAGCTGTTGAGAGACAAACAGCAGTGAGTCTAAGTGAGGAACACCAGCTATCTTCCAGGGAACTCACTCGGCAACAGGCAATAAAAGCAACACAACAACCAGTTTAACCAGGAAGTCAGCTTCTGAGCGACATTAGATTATTTTTTTTTTTTTTTTGCAGAACTTTCAGGCTTTTAACCAGATATCAAAAAGGAAACTGCAACATTCCTGGTCATGTCTGAGATTCATTCAAAGAGCAGTACAGTGAGGGAGGGTAAGACTGACAGCAGATAGCAGGAAACCTGAACAGAGTATATTACAGTCTCCCTGTTTCATTCTACTGAGCCTTCACTCTCTCGGGGAACATAAATAAATGTTCTTCAATATTTAGGATCAACAAAAAGTTCCAATATTATTTGTCATTCATTTCAGAAGGTGATTCTTATATGTATTCATTAGACAGAGATTGGAATATTTAAATTTGAGATAATTTCAATGATTATGAAGAGATAAAGAGAACCTAAATGAAGAATCTCAGCAAACCAAAAAGCAATAAAAACAGTATTTTAAACAGAATATTCAGTAAAGCATGTTTAATTCTCATTTTGCATAAATTACTCCATCACTGCAGTGTGACATTAAGGGAATCAGCCTGTGGTTCTGCTGAGGTGTACTAGAAGCTAAATTTGGTTTGATGGCACCCTTCAGGTCATCTGCATTGTTGGTTTGATGTCTTATCTCCCTGAGAACTTTATATGTGATTCAGATCAGGCCAGTTTGCAGGCCGATCAGTAAACCCACTTTTAGAAACTTTGGCAGCGTGTGACGGTGCATCGTTCTGCAGGAGAATGAAATGACCTGTTCAATAAAGCTTGATGTAGTCTCTGTTCAGGAGTAGTATGACTGTAGCTAACATGTAAATAAATAGTGTCCCTTAATAAAAAGAATTCAGCCTAAGCCCACTTAGTCAAATTCTGTAATGGATAGTTTTTTTGTAGCTTTTCCACCATTTTTTCCCCCCATTCTTCCACTTAATCTCCTCTAATTATATATGAATACAGCACTGTGTAAACAATACACTTTGGGGAGTGGCTTTCTAGTATTTAGGGCATACAACTTGGAATCCTGAGGCTCTGAGTTTGAGCCCTACTCCCACAGACTGCAACTCTGGGTTTCTGAGCAAAGACCATTAACCCCACACTGTTCCCCGGGCGCCCCAAAATGTCAGCCCACTGCTCCCCAAGGGGATGGGTTAAATGCAGTTAAATTTCTCAGATGTGAGATCAATAAAGTTCAATTGTTATCATTATTTAGTTCAGGGTTCCTCAATTCTGGAGCCTGAGAGACTATCTAGAGGCTAAAGGAAGTTTTACAGATGTTTTGAGTGAATCAAATGTTTAGGGTAAGACGCAATGAGTTTTTTCAGTATTTAACCTTGTGACAATATTTAAAATTTCGGTCTCGTTTAATTCTGAATTTTCATCATATGCAAGCTGGGATTATAAAACTTAAAAAATAATAATAATAATAACACCCTAATAAACAGTGATTGATCTCTAAAACACAGAGATGCTCCTCATAGTTTATGACTACTTATTGCAGGATGGCAAAATATTTAAAATTTTTTTAACATTTAACATCTTTTTATATCACAGGTATCAAATTCAAACATCAAAGGTTTGAAAGAAAAATAAAAAAAGAACTTGGCGTCCACCAGTTGTCATCCGATACATGCTTACTCACTGGTGACAGTGTTGTTGGAAGCGGTGAGTGCCGTTAGTGTGTTAACATCCCATAGGAAGATCTGCCGGTCAAGACCAGCCGACGCTACAAGCTCCTTGTCCTTAGCATACGCTAAAGCTTTTACATAGTCCTTGTGGGTCCGTAACGTCGACATACAAAATCCTTTATGAGCGTTCCATACTTTCACTGTTGTATCCGATGAGGCTGATATCACTGAGAAGAGAAAAGTGGATCACAGAATAAGGATTTGATGGAGTGATGGCTCTCTGACTTCTAAAGTACTGATAATCGTCAAAACTCACATGTTTTCCCATTGCAGCAGAGAACTATATCATTAACCCAGTCTGTGTGATGCTCCATAGATGCTATATATGGGTCCTGCTATAATGTCGATAAAACATTAGTACAATTCGATAGCACACAACATACAAGAATGAAAAGAAAATGTAGAATATAGTCTGAAACTCTACTTTGTGTTGGTAGACGCTCCATATCCGGATGATGGAGTCTCTTCCTGCGGTAAAGAGCCGATTCAAAGCAGGGTCTAACTGGAGTGCGTTTACCCCATTGCGATTATATTTCTCTACCTCATCTCTAATCACGTATGAAACCTGTAACACAAACAAGAGAGATCATTTTCCCACCCGGGAAACATCTGATTCCCACCACAGAATACTTTAGCTGTGTGCTGAAGTAACCACTACTGGAGGGTTTGCACAACACAGGAGGATGCTGAAAGGAACTTTCATGGCACAAAGATGAACAAACGTCATGGACCAGAGAGCATATGTGGTTGGTTACTTTAAAACTAAGCAACGGATGAATGAATAAAGACTGAAATTCAGTCTTTTAGAAAAGTTTGAACAGGTCCTTAAGAAGCAGCATGACACCAGGATTCACTGACTTCTCTCCTACTTTTGACACAATTAAACTAGACATTTCAACCATGAGACTTTTAGAGAATCTATTCTCATTACTTATTCATTCTGTACACTAATATATGTCTGAGCACAATCTATTCATCTAAAAATAAGCAGATGATTCTGTTATTTTGAGCCTGCTCCTACTGACAGAAAAGAAAGTCGGGTCATTGAAAACTCTGTCAGTTGGTATGATAGTTGATGATAATAGCAATAGATTTTAGAATAAAGCGCCAGGATCCCCGAACCCGTCACCATCAAGAGACGAGTAACTTCAATAGTAGAAGTATCCTGGTCACTGAACTCAACTTCAATTTTAAATTAAACTGGGGAGCAATGTGTCCTGTTTCCACATTGATAGGAGACCTTATTCAGTCAGTTTTAACCTTTTCGTTTGTGTCAGAGTTTGGAAACAGGCTCCTGAAATAAAGGAACCAGTTGATTAAATAGTCTGATGGGCTCAGCTGTGTCTACAGTGCCTGTACACCAGACAGGTGACTCCCATCCCCATGTGAGGATTTCCAGCAGCTACCATCCGGATATAGACCTCTCCCTACGGGAACAGCTTTGCTTCCGTTGCTGCTTCACGCATTTTACTTTTTTGGTGGTCTTAACCGGCTAAACATTTACTTTTTATCGACTTGTTTATTAAATATTACTTTAATATTTTCTGTATGACATAACTATGTTTTGCCCTGCTCTTAACAAGTTTGATATTAGCATCTTAGGGATATCCATTGGTTTATAATTATTATATTTTAGTTTTTCTAGCCATGTTCAGTGAGCCGTTGGGAGTAGCCTACCAGTCTGTCTTGTTCTCTACTGTTTTAATGTGAGTTAGGTGTTTTTAATGTCAGTCTATAAAGTTATAGATGCCCACTCCAGGCTGCAAAACAGATCAACCCACGTGTATAAATAAAAATCACTTTAACCAACGAGGTACGTTCCAGCAATTAGACGGAGCCGTAGCACCAGAGCTACTGTTTAAATCATGCAAGCGTCAAAACGTAGTTTAAGTTACACGACTCCCGACTGTGGCAGATTAAAATTCATGTCTGTGCCTGGTTGCATTTTAAAAAGTAAATTTTTAATGCCTTTTTTAAAAACAAAATATTAACATTTAGAAAGAGCCGTTAGCAACAGAGGCTAACCGCTCTGGTTAGCTAGGCTAGCTCTATTAGCCGGCTTGAGCCACCAGTCAGAGCCGCAGCGCTGTTCTTGGAGTCGCTTTTTAAACACACTAGGATATTTTTAAAGCAGCCCTTTAAGGTGAGGACCTTAATGCTGCCGCTGCCATACACAGCTCATGCATGCACTCTGCAGAATCTACCTGTACTTTTCTCCGCCCAGCAGCATTTTGCCTGTGATGCGTGGCCATCTTGCATGTTGACAGTCAGTTCGTGTTATGCTACATCCGGGGGAAAAAAAACAAAACACGCACGCCTGGACTTCTTCTTCTTCTTAATGGGATTTCATTGGAGGTCAGCAAACAACGAAATGGCGCTTTACTGCCACCAACTGGTATGGAGTATAGATAGAAAATACGACTTAATACTAAACCAATACAACATAATCAACACAAAATAAAGACTCATATTCTCTCAGCCATATTGCTTGTTCTAAGATGACATTAAATTTCCATTTGGGAAAATTTAAAATCAAACCTTTTATTTGAATTGAGTGGAATAATGAAAAACACTTCTTTATTACTAAATTAACTAAATTTTGTTTTGAGTTAATTCTACAAAATTTTGCTACATTAAAACTTACTCTTCTTATCTTGATGTTTTAATTTCCCTTATTTCCTCATATTTCTGACAATGTAGCAGGACTTGTTCTATTGTCTCTTCTCCACAATAATCATACCTGTCAGTGTTATCTTTACCTATCTTAAATGACCTGGAGCATGATCTTAAAGTCTGAAATTGATTTTTATCCAAAATAAATGGTCTTCAATGCTGTTCTGGCAGATCCCCAATCACTTCCTACTAAACTCTTCATAATATTTAACACTTTCCTAAATTTATCCAGTATATTCTGGATATCTATACCCATGTCATTCCTTCATCAACCCACGAGCTCAAACAATTTGAAAATTCAACTTTTCCTTATTCTTGTTGATAAAATTTAAGTTTGAACTCTGTACCAATTCTTTTCTTTGTAAAAAAAAAAAGTGTAATTTACTGAAAATTTAAAGCCCTTTAAAGACCAATTTTCTATCCCTTTATTAGTTTTCTGCAATTTTTTTTAACAATGCATTTCAGATTTCTTCCCCCTCCCTCCATCCTTCACAAAAAGTGAAAATCCAATCCTGTTCTCAATGTCCCTGAAAACATAATTTGTTAATATGTCTTAGTGAATGTCTTAGTTCTCATATTTTGCCTGGCTATATAATTGCAAATTTCAATAGATTTTTTTCATCAGGGTTATATGCAATAAACAAAGATGGAGTAATAGTTGCACTATGTTAACAACCTTTTTTTTTTACTCAAGTAAGTGTACAGCAGCAAAAGGTCATAGTAGAAGTGGTCACACAATGTGCACCTTGGAAAAGTGTACTGTAAAAAAAAATAGGGAAAAAAAAGGAAAATAAAACAAATAGAGTATTGTACTGTGCAGTGTTTATACAATATAAATAGTCTGTATCTGGAGAATAAAAAACAAAAAACAATTGTTGAATATTTTATTGGGGATAGACATATTTGTACATCAGTACATCCATAACATTGTCAATGATGGGGCTTTTATTTTTGTGTTTAGTATTCTGTTTTAAATAGATAAAACTAGTGTACAATTCTTTTTTGATAATTCGTTCGGAAAATTAGTGTTCTAATTAAAAAAGAAATAAAAATCCCAACAACTTTGAAGCTACAAGACATTTTACTACAATTAATCACAAACACATTGTAGAAATGTTTTGCCTACAAAACAACATGTCTTGATCAATTTCTCTCTTTTTTTTTTATCACGTGAAAATGTTATCCAGTCAAGGTCAAATGTATCCTATGAAAAGCAAGCTTTTACTTGCTTTTGGGAGGAGCACAGACCAGAGAGTCCTTCTTGCTATAAATTCTCTTCCAAAGGTCTTCAGTGGCTTTACTCCATATTTCTGTCATTTGGGTCACAATGACTTGTCTGGAATAAAACGCTCGGGATCATTTTGTGTGGAGGACCATGGAAAACTGGAATTAATTTGGAAACACTGGAATCTATGCTAAAATCTGGTCCAAAAAAAAGTGCTTGTCCACAACACGATGCTTACTGATATAACTGACCCTCCCATAGGCTCTTGTAATGTTGATGGTCATAAAATGCAAATAAGATTTAATTAAATGATTAAAGGTCCATCAAAAATATTTACCAAGATAAGTGATTTGAAATTAACTCTCTCTGGAGATTAACCAATCAGGTGCTAGAGACTATTTAATGACACATTGCAGCTCCTTATAGTAAGAGGAACTCAATTTAGAATAATTGCATTATGATGAATATGAATTGTAATTGATTTGATTCCCTTATACTTATTTATTCAGGAAGCATTTTTGAAATAAATTTCAATATTCTCAAACATTTGTTTATTTTTGGGTCTATAATATCTCATTATGAAGTGTAACTAAACATTTATATATTTAAAAAATCTTCAATAGTTTTTGGGTCTCAATATAACACCGTACAGATGCTTCAGTGTCAGCAATTATTCTTTTATTTAGTGTTCTTCTCAGTGTTCCTAATGCAAGACTGCTGCACACAGACAGGTTTTATCATTTCTATGTGGAAAAAAAGGGAGTAAGTTAACATACTTTTTGCCATGATATTGTCCAGAATTAAACCTAAAAGCAGCTTTTAGTTGCATGGACAGATGGATGAGATTTTTTAAGACTAGGAAAGTCTCTTGAAATGCAAATAACCCAATTTTCCCATTTTCTTTTTCTATACCTATTCATACTTGAATTTTACCTTTGTCTACATTTTCCAACCCTATACATACAGGTGCTGGTCATAAAATTAGAATATCATGAAAAAGTAGATTGATTTCAGTAATTCCATTTAAAAAGTGAAACTTGTATATTATATTCATACATTACATACAAACTCATATATTTCAGATGTTTATTTTGTTTAATTTTGATGATTACAAATGACAACAAATGAAAATCTCAAATTCATCATATCAGAAAATTAGAATATTGTGAAAAGGTTCAAAATTGATGGCCCCTGGTGCCACACTCTAATCAGCTAATTAACTCAAACCACCTGCAAAAGCCTTTAAATGGTCTTTCAGTCTAGTTCTATAGGCTACACAATCATGGGGAAGACTGCTGACTTGACAGTTGTCCAAAAGACGACCATCGACACCTTGCACAAGGAGGGCAAGACACAAAAGGTCATCGCTAAAGAGGCTGGCTGTTCACAGAGCTCAGTGTCCAAGCACATTAATAGAGAGGCGAAGGGAAGGAAAAGATGTGGTCGAAAAAAGTGTACAAGCAAGAGAGATAACCGCACCCTGGAGAGGATTGTGAAACAAAACCCATTCAAAAATGTGGGGGAGATTCACAAAGAGTGGACTGCAGCTGGAGTGAGTGCTTCAAGAACCACCACACACAGACGTATGAAAGACATGGGTTTCTGCTGTCGCATTCCTTGTGTCAAGCCACTCTTGAACCACAGACAGCGTCAGAAGCGTCTTGCCTGGGCTAAAGAGAAACAGGACTGGACTGCTGGTGAGTGGTCCAAAGTCATGTTCTCTGATGAAAGTAAATTTTGCATTTCCTTTGGAAATCAAGGTCCCAGAGTCTGGAGGAAAAGAAGAGAGGCACTTCATCCACGTTGCTTGAAGTCCAGTGTAAAGTTTCCACAGTCAGTGATGGTTTGGGGTGCCATGTCATCTGCTGGTGTTGGTCCATTGTGTTTTCTGAGGTCCAGGGTCAACGCAGCCACATACCAGGAAGTTTTAGAGCACTTCATGCTTCCTGCAGCTGACCAACTTTTTGGAGATGCAGATTTCATTTTCCAACAGGACTTGGCACCTGCACACAGTGCCAAAGCTACCAGTACCTGGTTGAAGGACCATGGTATCCCTGTACTTAATTGGCCAGCAAACTCTCCTGACCTTAACCCCATAGAAAATCTATGGGGTATTGTGAAGAAGAAGATGCAATACACCAGACCCAACAATTCAGAAGAGCTAAAAGCCACTATTAGAGCAACCTGGGCTATCATAACACCTGAGCAGTGCCACAGACTGATCGACTCCATGCCACGCCGCATTGCTGCAGTAATACAGGCCAAAGGAGGCCCAACTAAATACTGAGTGCTGTACATGCTCATACTTTTCATGTTCATACTTTTCAGTTGGCCAACATTTCTATAAATCCTTTGTTTTTATTGGTCTTCAGTAATATTCTAATCTTCTGATATGATGAATTTGAGATTTTCATTTGTTGTCATTTGTAATCATCAAAATTAAACAAAATAAACATCTGAAATATATGAGTTTGTATGTAATGTATGAATATAATATACAAGTTTCACTTTTTAAATGGAATTACTGAAATCAATCTACTTTTTCATGATATTCTAATTTTATGACCAGCACCTGTATTTTTTTTTTCCCAGACTTATCAGCCTGATGTCCTCATGATTGTCCATGTGGGGGCAGTGGAGTAAATGAAAAAGCTGTGGCTCCTAGTGCTCTTATACTTAACAGGATTCATAGGACAAGTAATTAGACAGGGCTTCATCAGGCCATCTGGTCACTGTTAGCCAGCATGACTAAGTAAATCCCTGCACTTCATGCTGAAAGACAGGACAACGTCTGTAACTAAAAGGCTCTTTCTATTCTTTTTTTTTTTATATTCTCAGGCTTTCAAGGGGTCAGCCTTGCTGAGAAGCTCCCAATTGGATCTAATCTATTCTGATAATTTCAGATTATTTGTATCAATTTATTCTAGAAAGATAATAAAAAGAAGCACAAGAACCCTGCTGCTCTACAAAAGTGATATATCTCAAAAATGTCATACTATACAATGGTAGATAAAAGAAAACACAGAGACATATAAAACCAATAACTATATTTTAGACCCTACAGCCTATACTGTGCATAAAGTGTTATGATGAAACATGTGATGATTTTCAGAGCTGCCTTTGGACAAACCAAATTCTTTCCAAAAATTTCCACTGAGGACCAACCATATCATACAAGCACCAATATCCAATCCTGGCTTCATGCAAAGTGGTGAATGTAATGACTTGCGCATGTTGTGCATAATGTTTGTAAATTGACAGTTATTTCAGGTCCAACAGGAAAACATCAGAAAACAGAGAGAAAATTCTCCTCTGGCACAATTTAAATTGTGCCAGAAATGCAACTTGCTCCAGTTTTTGAGTCTGGTTTTTAAGCTTTTTTTATTGAAATATTTTTATTATTTGTAGTGTTCCTGAATTTGTAAAAGGTTATTGTTTTTTTTGGTGTTTCTTTCTATCATGTGTCTTAAAGAGATTGCCCCTTTTTTGTCTTCATAGTTAGTTGGTGTCTCTATAGAAGTAATTTTTTTAGAAGTTTATTTTTGGGTGCCTCATACTTTGGGTTAGTTCTTGTTGATCTCAGATTTTTTTTCCCCCTTTGGTTTGATTGTTTTGAGGTTTCTGTGCTCAGCTCTATTCATGCTGGTTAGTCCCCTTCCCTCAGATCCCCGCATAGATTCCACCTAGCAGTCCCACATCCATCCTGCTGCTCATTACATCTCCCAAGTGGTTGTTTTCCAAGTCTTGGACATTCTCTGCTAAATTGTCTGAACTGACATTGTGTAATGAGGACAAGCTTTGTTTTTTTCCAGGAAGGGAGATACCGACCCACTGATCCAAATGCCTCCCCAGGAAAAAACCTGTTTGGTATTAACATGGAGGATTTGAAACTGAACTCAACCCAAAAATGCATCTTTTTTTACAACATTGCAGTGGGACAAGCTTTCCAAAGGTATAACTCTAATAAGGAAAAGGTAATTATAAAAAAGAAATGATCAGCCAAACTGACGAACTATGAAATATATATCAAGACCCCCTCCCCACCCCCCCAAATCCCAAATTAATGAATCAGAATTAATCTATTTGAATTAATTCAAAAGAAATTACATATTCACACTCATCAGGATTACATGGCCTGGTGGTTAAGAGGTGTAATAAGCCCATACACAGAAAACACTACACCAGCCCAGGAGAACCATGGGTGGGTCTTTGATTTGCATCTGACTTAGGGTGTACTTATAGGTTAGCACTCCAACTACAGATGTGGGCAATGTGTTTTGGGAATGTAACCAATGACATTTAATTCAATATTTTGTTTTTGTTTTTTAAACTCAAGTATGCACTTCTTTTAATGTCACTGATGCTGGATTGCTTACTATGTACACAGTTGATTTCCAAATTATTACAGTGACATGACTGTGTTTTCCTGCATGGTGTTACATTTTGTAATCAGACATAGTGCCTTTCTAATCTTTTAAAAAAATAATTTCCCTTACTGCTGAAGCCTTAATCTCCACCACATGTACAAATGCTCATAAAATTCAGATCCGTTTCCAAGGCTCATCCAGCCAGGTCACATTTTTAGGGCTTTTTGAAAATGGATCCAAATTAAATTTTTCATAATTATGAGGATGGATGGCAAAGAGTACATGTGATAGAGATGTTTATTCATATAATTGCACATGCAGATTGTATGTATATGTGCCCGTATGAAAGAGTGGGTGGGGAAAAAAGACAGTATCTGTGTGTGTGTATGTGAATGTGTAATTAAAACAAGTGATTTTTCCCCCCTTTTTTACATTCAGATTATCCTTCTATCCCAGCTGCTCAGAGTTGGATTTGACCACCCTGACAACTACAGATAGGAAATCTCTTCCAGGCCAAATCCAAATTTGCACCCGTGTTAAATTTTGATTTTTCTATTTTTCTACCTTGCTGAACTACAGCATGAATTTGATCTGTGGGAGAATGTAATACATACACCTTTCTTTCTTTTGCAACATGCATTCACAACCAGGCAGCCCACAGATTAGAGAAGTTTTATTACAGCTGAATAAAACAATAAATTTAATGCTTTTCATCATGCAATATAGACAACCATCTTCTCAAAGGTAACATATTTCATACAAAAATCACTTTTATTTCTATGTAATCTGGTTGTACCCGTCTACAGTCATAACGAACAAGCGTTTATTAGAAACACATTACAAAAATAGCTAGAAATTGGCTTTACATACAATACAGCCTCAAACCTCTTCACAAGCTTATAAAAATGTGCTTTCAGTGCATTATCTTTGCTCCAAAAATCCACATCTATCAGATTAAATCAACCAAACTAAAGGGACTCAAGGGAGTGTGCGGGCAAAGTTCAAAATCAGGCACATGAATTAGGGATTGTAAGCACACACGACCCGCTTAACAACAGACATTCATCTTTTGATGTACTGAATATCAAACAATAACTGAATTTTAGGCTCTATTTGTTAAAGTAAAACTACACAGCATAGTCCTTAGAAATTAAATGGCATTTATTTAGAGGTTTTATATCATATTACCTAATTATACTTCTTTGAGCTGAAAACAAAGTTACTCATCTGTTACTGTCAAATATTTTAGTCTTACCATGAATATATCTTTATCTATGTCTACATCTGTCTGTCTGTCTGTCTGTCTGTCTGTCTGTCTGTCTGTCTGTCTGTCTGTCTGTCTGTCTGTCTGTCTGTCTATCTATCTATCTATCTATCTATCTATCTATCTATCTATATATATATATATATATATATATATATATATATATATATATATATATATATATATATATATATATATATATATATATATATATATATATATATATATATATAATCAACCTTAATTTGCAGCAAGTCTTAGCTTTGGTTAAAATTATACTATTAAGACATAATTTAGACATTAGTCACATTTTTGCCTCTATATCTTATAGCAAAATATAATGGTAATGGACATTTAAAAAAATATTTCATATATTCTTTGGGTCATAGCAAAATGCTTTTTTCATATTAAGTTTAGTTGATAAGAGAAGCTTGATACTGATGGTGTGGTATTGCATAGGTCAGTGGCTACTTTAACACATATGTTTATCAATCACTTTCTTTCCCATTTACAGATACAGATACAAAGCAGCTTAAGTATAGAGCACTTAGAGAGACAGTGACAGAAAAAAAGAAAGGAAAACTTTCTCGCGACCACCAGATACTTTTTTCTCTCGATAATATACCTTTAAGTGCATCAAGTGTTCCAAAATAGAAATCATGACCTCATTTGTTTCATTGTTCTAAAACAACGTAGTAGTGCTCTCTATCAATCAACCTAATATTTTTATTGTAAGCCAGCCATAATTAAAGTTAAACACAGTTGTCTGAAATACTACCGCATTACACAAGCAATTCAGAATATTATTTTTTATACAGGGAAAAGAATCTGGTTTGCATGAAAAAGTGTCCGGTGGGCATGAGAATTGTCATTTACATGCAGAGATGTATCTGTTGTGCAAGAGGAATGATCTGATATAAACTGGAGAGCATGTGTTGCACACAAGAAAGGTTTTCCTTTAGGAGCTCCATAAATATAAGTTTATGGATTTTTTTCCACTTCATTTTATTCCTGCTTTTCCTGTGAACTGGTTTTAAAGTTCAGAGTACATTTTATAGATTTTAAAAGGATTTGGTCGTGTAACTATTTATATACAGACAAATCCCACCTCAGAGAGCAAAAACACTGCCAGATTTTCTTTCATCTTGTTCCCTGACACGGGTGCTTTTAAACATAAAACCTTGAGGCTGTTGTCCTAAAACTCTAAGGCCCAATCCCAAACGGGCCGCTAAACACTAATCCTAAACCCTAACCCTTCGTTTGCACGTTCCCAACGAGAGACCGCCATATAAAGGGCCGTCTCAAACCACATAGTGGGTAGGAAGGGTGGATCATTCATCCCCCGTTACATTTGGCAGTGGATGTAACGGCGCCCTAATGGCGGAGGAAAAACAGGCATTCAAATGTAAGTTCTGCTTGTTTGCTGCATCTTCATCACACTGAGAAAATCCCCCCAAAAAGAAAAAAAGATGTAATTAATTCCTAAAGGGGAGGTCCTCTATGAAAAGTTTTGACTGTATAAATGTGTCTTTAAGAAAGTGCCAAATGTTTGCAATGGGAGTGATCCAGGTGCGTTGAAGCATAGATCTTAAAGCTGCATGACACAAACCCTCGAGGACTGTAGTTCAGGAACTCAGTTTAAAACATTAACTATGCTAATAGTTTTAACTAATTGCTGTACTTTCTAAAGCTAGACTACTCACCTCTGTTTATATGGGTTTTCAATACCTTTGCACCGTAGGCACTGTTTCTGTATCGTTAGGCATAGTAAATGCTAAATATTGTTAATATTGCTGTATTGTACAATCCAGTCCTCAGATCTGTAGAAGAAACCTAACAATAAGCCAAATATGTTTTAACTTTTATGGTGATATTTAAAAGAGTTTTAAGGCTTTGATCTTAAGTTAGCTTTTTAAAACACTGTCTCTTACTACACTGAGTTTAGTTTCTGGGAAAATTCTGTCAACAAATCCTTGACAGATATATGAATAAGTCAACTGAAGTCTGTCATAAAAAAATGTAAAGGAAACCCTTGGGATACGCTTTGAGCTCAACCAGGTAAACCCTCCACCCAAAGGTTGCAGCTGCTTTCTGCTTATGCTCAAATATATGAGAAGTCTGACCCATATTTCAAAAATGTAAATACAAATTTTAACAACAGATTTTATGACAACACAGTTATGTTAAGATGAATTAGAGGTGCGTGAAATTTGAGTGGTATACTTTTTGTACTCAGATGACCTCTGGTTTTCACACATGCAAGAAAAACATGGAGAAGGCAACCTAATAGTAGGAGATCTGGAGGAAATGAAAAAAAAAAGCATTTTAAAGCACTTTGCAGGAGCATTAGCATTAAACCTTTCCTTTGGAAGTGGTCTACAGATTTATAAGTACAAAATATATGGAACCTTTTTAGAATAACCGTTTGTTTGTGTCCTTTCAGGGGCTCCCATGTTTAGAAGTTGTCGAAGCTTAAACACTGGATGCCCTTTCTGATGTAACAGGAATAAAACTCAGGTCCCTCATCTTATAATCAGACTTAAATCACTTCATCATGGAGACTTACTTTTAGAGCTGATTTAAGTGTGAGCTTTATTTATGTTTTTAGACAATCACCTTATTTTAATCATTTATATTTATTCTTTTTCATTTTTTTGTGTTCCCTGTAAGCCATTCCAATGTACCTTTTTCTTTTCTTTTCATGTACAGAACATTGAATTGTCTTGCTACCGAGATGTGCTATCTAAAAAAAATGTCTTGCCTTATTAGCGTGACCATTCGATGTTTTAATTAAAGTTATTTCAAACCCATAACTCACACAGAAATATGACACTATATGGAACAACAGAGTAAAAATGTGCGTACTTGTTAAGAAACAGCATATAAAAACTACTGATTAGGTCAGTATTCTCATAATTGATTTATAGAATTCAAATATTAACATTCGGTTCACAAAAAGAAGTCAAATCTATTAAAATAAGTAATTTCTATCATCTTTTATAATGTAATAGAGGCTTTGAGCTACTTAAAAAATGCATATTATCCCCTGCATCTTAAAAAACTATAAAACATTTGTTTAATATGAATTATTGTTCAATCAAAGGATGTTACCGTAAATTAAACAGACAGAGATGACTCAGTCAGTCTCCATAAAGTCTCAAAGAAACGTTTCCTCATAGTTTTCAACTGGGTCCCTGAGTTCAGGGCCTCTAGATGTGGTTCTGGCTGTAAGAGAGGAGCTCATGCATGCCCCCTGAGTCACACTATCATAAGATGGTGGTGAGGACAAAATTATGTCCTCCTCTGTCTGTTCACCTTGAGGCGCTATAGGAGCAAAGTGCTGAAACATGGATGCTATGAGCCCCTCTGTTTCAGGAGCCTTCTCTACATCCACCACAATCTGATAGTTGATCTGTCTGTAGAGGTAAGATGCCTGCTTCATTTGCCGTCTCACCAGATGTCTCCTGTAACACCTCTGGATGATGACTGCTGACACCTCCTCCATTTTACGTCGCAGAGTAGAAGTGATGGGCTCATGGGAAACTTTGGAGGGATTGGTCATCATGAACTTCTCCTCCATCTGCTGCTTGAGGGTGTCCATGTCACCTGAATCTCCAAGTACACGTTTTGTGAAAGCAAACAAAATGTCCAGGCAGTGGATCTTGTCCCCGCTGACCATAGGAAGGTCCATGGAAATCAGCTGGATCTTGTTGGGCTTCGGGATTCGCAGCGGCTCAGAAAGAGCATCGGCAAACCTCTCCAACATCGAGAACTCTATGAACTGAGTTGCTTCAGAGTCAAACTTCTCCCAGACCTCATAAAACATTTCAAAGTCATCCTCGCTCAGAGGTTCTGTGCTCTCCTCGGTTGCAACGCTGAAGTTCTCCAGGATTATAGCTATGTACATATTCACCACAATAAGAAAAGAAATAATAATGTAACTAACAAAGAAAGCTATGCCCACTGATGGGTTCCCACAGTTTCCTCTGGCATTGGTGCCAGTATTGACAAAGTTAATGTCACACTCCTCTGGAGAGCTTGACATTATGGGGCTCAGGAGGTTGTCCCATCCTGCTGAGGTGCTGATCTGAAAAAGGCAGATAATGCTGTTCCCAAAGGTCTCAAAATTAAACATGTCGTCGATCCCATCTTGTTTTTTCACATAGGCAAAGTTTGCCATGCCAAAGATAGCATAGATGAACATGACAAGGAAAAGCAGGAGGCCAATATTGAACAGCGCCGGCATGGACATCATTAAGGCAAACAATAAAGTCCGTATTCCTTTGGCTGCTCGAATAAGTCGAAGTACGCGCCCTATCCTTGCCAGTCTGATGACTCGAAACAGGGTTGGAGAAACAAAGTACTTCTCAATGATATCAGCGAGGACTATCCCTGAAAGGAGAGGAAACCCAAATGAAAAGAAAGAAAGGAGGAAAGTGTGACAGTGATTTGTAATAGATATACACAAAGAAATGAACATGCCCAGTGGATAAAATGCCCAGTCAGAGTTACTCAATAATAAGCTGAACCAGTGTGTTTTCTTCAGTGAACTCTGTATAAAACTGGTAACAGGTTATGTGGATGTTATGTGGAAGTTGAAACAAAAGGGGGTTCAAGAAAAAGATGGGGGGCCTCGAGAAGGATAACTAGATATATACAGTAGCTTCTTTTAAATAGGGCGAGACCGTAGATAATGCCCCCCCAAAAACAGATATCCCTCAATAAGTAGTACTGTAATTCCAGAGTGCTCATGTCTGCACGGGCCAATCCGGAGCAAGCTGTCACAGAGGTTCGTTGCAGTGCAACCTGTCAAACGCATTTTGCTTTGCGTGAGGAACAAAGTCAGCCGGAGGGAAGAGGCTCCCTCAAGAGCTTAGCTGTCCAAAAGCGAGGGCAACATACAGAAACTTACTTGTAACGGCATCACACGTACAGTATAAGATCCCAAGCTTATGTGGGAATAGCTAGGGAGCTATTTTTCTTCTACCAAAGCTGCAGTTCCTTTCACGTGTGGGATTATTTTGCGCCGTTGTTGATGAATTCATGCGAGAATGTAGTTTTACGTTTATTTTGTTATTGGCCGTCTTGACATAAATATGATGCAATACATTTTGATCTCCAATTCTTCCTTTAGTTGAAAAAAACTCTCTCCTAATCAAACTGTTAAGTTTTGGATTTCCAAATAAGGGACATTTTATGATACCCACTGTCAGGTGCTCAGACCGTTGGAATAAAGCAGGCTCACACACATCTCTAATAATCTGCCGCTGATGGCTGGAAAACAGGCAGCATAAATGGGAGCTTGAAACAGGTGGATCAGAGGAGCGGTAATGAGCAACCTGGCAGAGTTAAACAGGTGAAGGGAAAGAGCAATTAAACCAGGCATCAGCGCCAAGATCATGACACCCGCTGCATGCTGTCCAACGACCCTAGTGAACGCTTGTCAACCAATTGCAAACTACAATAAGGTGATCAGATTTTGACTTGAGGCGCTAGTGACAGTCCTTTTTGGAGAGGCAGATCGATGTAGGGAGGTTGGTGGGAAAGATGGGTCAAATACTGTAGTTTCCCTGTAGGTACCAGATCTGCTCTGGTGGTCAGATCTGCTCAGGCACTCTGAATCCCAATGATGTTACTCTATATGATTGGCTATATGTTGCCACGATGATATTAAACATTATGGTTGCCTGGACAATAATGATATCATAATGCAGAGTCCATTTGCCTAGTTGGTAGTATCTGTAGTGTTTGCTTGTATAACTACCCATGAAGTTTAACCCGATTGATAACAAAATGGTTCTTTACCAACTTTATGGCTGCTCAACGCCTCCCTTTTAACATGGGAGGCAAATATCTAAACTGTAACGTATGGCACAGACTTTGTTTTAAAAATTCTTACCCACTATTGAGAGAATTATGACCACAAAGTCAAAAATGTTCCATGCAACGGTAAAGAAGTAACATCGGAGAGCAAAGAGCTTAATCAGGCATTCGGTCGTGAAGATAACGATGAAGACAAGGTTGATAATGTTGAGGATGGACTCCATTCGCTCCGACTGCTCGTCGGTTTCCACCATCATGGTCACCATGTTGATGATGATGAGCATCATGATCATGATGTCGAAGGCTTGCTGGGAGACCAGATCAAAGAAGAAGGCTTGGAGAAGGTTCTATGATTGGAGAAAATGAACAGTCAGTCTGTAATTTAACTTTAACAGGTCATAATCATGAGCATTTTTTTTTTTTTTTTTGGTTTACCGCGGGTCTTGGTATTGGCTTTTGAGGTTTCTTAGTTCCCAACTTTTTCATTGCATTGTAGTACTTCTTCTGCTCCTCCGTCATAAAGATATCCTGTCCACCTAAGTATATATAAAAAAATCCAATATCTATTATACTCAGCCCATTTTATAAAATAAACAATAAAACATACAAGAAAAAAACAGTTTTACGTTCCCAAGTTCTCTAGGCAGGTTTGAGCTTCTTCCCTTACTCTGTAAGTGTTGTTTAAAACTCTGTAAATGTTACACACCCCTACAGAGTATTGTTGACTTGAAGTTTACAGGCTCATTGCGCAGCAAGTCAGTCCTACAATTTGACAAGATTTGCAAAAGGAATCCGCATTTTATTTTTAGGTGTTCTGTCATTATTGTTTTGCTCTTGGCCCAGTTTTAGTCAAGCTTTAGCTGTTTAATAGAGGAGTTCATGGATTACAGAACGATTGCTAGGGGCAGTGGATTCAAAACAAGCCCAAAACAACACCCCTCCAACACCGTGCTGAGAGCTGGTATATGTATCATTTTAATATGCACTATGACCAAAATATTATACTTTCTCATACATCCAACACAGAATAGGTTTCTCTTAAGAACCTGATTTCTTATTTTCCAATTTTTTTTCAGTTTTACATTCAAAACCAAACTTTACTTAATAAAACTGCATTATATATGTTTTACAGTTATGACAGCCAGTGTTTACATTGTTAAAATCCATTTAAAATGCAATGAATTCACACTTCTGCATGATATTCAGCTAGATGGAGTCTTACTGAAATATTGTCGACATCTGAAAAAAAAATAGTGCTTTAGATTCTAACTGTTACAATGTGTATTAAAAGCACAGTTAAAAATAAACTGTTCTGACCAATGGCCTTACCATGTTCTTATTTTGAGACATCATTTCTTTTTTAAAGTTGTATATATCCACTTGTAAATGTAATTGGTATGAAATTGCTTAGAAATGGCATGATCGTCTATAACAATTCCTTATCAGACCCTGGTATTATTTATGTGAGCCTTGTATGCTCCAGATCACAAATGAACAAAAATTATTTTATAGACCTTGACGAACTAATGGTGACTATTTGAAGAGATGGATTAATTCACAAACAATTTGCTGCTACTTTTCTTTGCCAATCCAATAGAAGCAGTAAAGACATGCATGTTTTATATTTAGGTAAAACAAGACTTGATCCAAAGTCTACAATAGTTCTGTAAATACTTATCTTTCTTTTTTGCTGATTGAAATTGTCAATGATAACCCCAATGAAGAGGTTAAGGGTGAAAAAGGAGCCAAATATGATGAAGATGACAAAGTAGAGGTACATGTAGAGGTTGATTTCTCTGCTGGGTTGTTCCTCCACCTGCAAAAGGTTTTAATGAATCAACTGTCTGCTGAAAAAAAATAAAAAATTCAGACCCTGGAGAAACACACTTACCCCTCTGGAATCAACGGCTGCATTCATTATTTCCATCCATCCCTTAAATGTTGCCTAAATACACAACAGAACTTCATTGTTTGATCAAAGCAACTTAATATTAAATAAGTTGTTTATTAATGAGATTAATGAGTTCATTAAAGCATATCAATAAATGTAGATATACAGATCTCAGACTAATTATTATTGCACTGCAAGATGTTTAAGCTGTTGCTCCATAGAACGTTTTTTTTTTTTTTGGTTCCATATTAAATGTTATTCAAAGCAGCAATAGTGCATTATATAATATTAAAACCAGAGAAAAAAAATGACCAGCAGGGGAAACTCACCACTTGCAAAAGTGAAAGGTAGCCGAGTCCAACGTTATCAAAGTTAACCTTCACCTTTGTCCAGTAGAACTGGGTGTCATTCATGGCAAGACAGTCTGATTTGTTGTTGACCACTGAGACGCTGTGGATAAAACCTGTTCTGTTCACACACTTTCCAAACTTGCCAGCGAACAGGTTGACTCCCATGATACTGAAGATGAGCCAAAAGATAAGGCATACAAGCAGCACGTTCATAATAGAGGGAATGGCTCCTATAAGAGCGTTGACTACCACCTGCAGAAAGACAGAAAAAGGATGTTCCTTCAGGAAGTTACTATCCAACTGCTGGATGGAACCTATATTGCTATTGATCTGAACGTTCAACAGAGGACATTTCCCTCCATGCAAAGACAAAAGCTGATATAAGAAGATTATTTTCTAGTTGAGTACAGATTGCTTCAAAAAGGAATTTAACCTAAAACCTAAAGCTGACGATTTTAAATCACGTCAGAACATTTTGAAATACATTGCATGAAGGAAAATAGTAAAGGTATGCTAGAAACTGTGAGGCATCTAAATGCCGACAACAGAATGTCAGCAAAGCTATTTGTTTAAATGAGAAATAAATCTGATGGCACTAGATTACTGAGCGAATAAATTCCAAATAATATTCTTTCTGAAATCCAAATGAATACATTTATTATCATTTCTTTGTACACATAATAGCAAAACAAAATCTAGACATTTATCGGGAATCTTCAAAAATAATAGTGGAAGATGTTAACACTTTAAGGCATGTGCACTAATGCCGTGACTTTCAGACCTCATCATTAATAGTGTCCTCATTGAACATTGACTCAGTTCTTCTGCATCATAATAAACTAATGATAAGCTATCTGACTTTGTCCTCGCATATTAATCAGCCTAATATGCAAATTTTATTATCAGGCTTTCCTTATTATTTTATAAACCACTGTGTATTAACAGTATAAACAACATTGGACTAAACACACAACCCTGAGGGGTCCCACAGCTCACCACAGTGGGGTACCTGATAATTTATATTTTAAGAGTAAAATAATATTGGTGCTTTCAGTTAACAATTGAAACCCAATCCAAGTCAAGGTGGTCGTAGCCAGGGCAAGTAGGTTATGTTTCTTTTTTTGCTATGGAGAATGTTGGGATTAAATTCTTAGGTGTGGTCTGCACTTGAAATTTAAATATCTCCATGGATTTAATAGCACATAATTTTACATTACAGAATTACTTTTTAATTGGATTTTCTCCGCACAGACATTAAAGCAGCAGAAATAAACAACAATCTCTTACCCTCATGCCTTCAAATCTGGACAGAGCTCTGAGAGGTCTCAAAGCCCGGAGCGTTCTTAGTGACTTGATGGCAGCAAAGTCAGAATATCCCAGTGAATTTGCAACCAGGCTAATAAGAGACACCTAGCAGGAGACCAGAAAACATAAACCTCTATTAGGAGACAAAATTATTGAAAATCAACAAGTCAGTGAAACCAAATATAAAAAGAAGAAAAATTTAAAAGACTAAACAGAAGAAATACACAATGCAAAATCAGACTGGTTAAAATATTTAAGGAGCCATATTTGGTGATTTTTGTGTATTTTGGGACATTCCACAGTTAGGAAGACACCTATTAAACTTTTGTTTTTAATTTGGTTTGTCTTTTAGTTATCATATAAATAATTTAAACTTCCACTCTATTCTACATCCAGAGCAGACAAAACAAAATGGAATTCCTCTGTTGAATGACCCATGGATGGCAGCTATAAATGAGGATGGCATGAAATAAATGTCAGACAGACGACTGATGATGACAAAACACAGACAAGTATGCACATATGGTCAACATAGTCCATGCATGCATACCCAGCTATATATGCATATAAATATGTATATATATCAAATAGAGGGAGTTTTATAAAGAACTTCTAAGTCTTGGCCAAATTGTTTCCGAATTTGTAAGCAGTAAATCATATCCATAAATCAAAAACAAATTTAGAGTGTATAGGTTCCCGATGTCCTGAATTTCTTTATAAAAGTCTATTTAGAGATGTGTTGATTCAATATATCTAAAGAAGATACTCAATTATAATTTTCAGGAGAGTTTACAAATCTGGCCCCAAAAGAAGATAAAAAAAAGCTTAAATAAAAAACTGAATAAAAAAAAAAGTATAATGAGAGTCAAACCTAAAAAAGTAGATAAATCTCTACATTAGATAAGAGAACAGAAGTAAATGTAACCGATGCATTTCCAAATACAAAGTATCAGTAGAAAAGCGCAGGTATCCACAAACACATTTGCCAAGGTATCTATAACTTATAATATTTCACATTTTTTGTAACTGCAACTGCAACCCTCAGGGCAACTGATTGAGATTTGATGGAATAGACCAACAAAAGGTAACATGGTAGAAGTTGGTTGAAGTAAAATATGGTTTTCTACATTTCTTTACAAATAAAAATTTGATATAATAAACTAATAATAAAAGATATAATGTGGATCTGTGTTTAGCCATTCTAAGTCAACACTTCTAGAATCATGCTTGAAAAAATTCAGTCAAGGCAATGGAAGGCGAAAGTCATAATCTTGGCACTGATGGCTGGCTGAATTACTTATTTCATTCACCTGTCTAACTCTGCCCAGTTGCTCGTTACTGTTCATCTGATCCACCTGCTTCTGCCTCTTTTTAATACCCCTGCATCCAGCTATCAAGGCCAGATTATCTGGTTCTCACTAGCCAGTGGTGAGAGGGGTTTTGAGCATACCACAGTGTTTCTGATTTCCTGATCCTGACCTGATCTACCTCTCATCCACTGAGTTTGCCTGTTCCTGTCTTATCTCAGTGGAGAGAGTGTTTTTAGTGTGCAATAGTGTTTCTGATTTCTTGATCCTGACCTGTTCTGCCTCTCAACCACTGAGCCTGCCTGGGCTGTCTGTGGACTTGTGAAACCCTGAAACAGTTTGTTCCTGTTATGATCTGTATCCCTGACTGGAATTCATACTCCTGGACCTCTGAGCCTTACTGTTTCGATCTGTTTCCCTGACTTGGCTCGGACTCCCGCTTGTCCTCCGAGGCTCCAGCATCGGGGAAACTCTGGGTGGAGCCCGCCGCATCTTGTTGGCAGCCCACTGGCTGGATTTTACCTTGTTCTCTGGCGATTGTGATCCACTGATACCGCAGATCAAAAGCCTGCTCTGTCTTGAATAAATGCTTTGAATTATCCCACTGTCTGTTTTGCTTTGAATAGTGGGTCCTCTGTCATGAGATTGAAGTTTTCTAGAGGACGTGTCGCCTTTCATCCAAGAGGCTACTTTAGTTCTGACTAGTGGTGGGGAGCACTGAGATTAATATACTGTACGTGTAACAAAGAATTGGGGGGGGGGGGGGGGGGGGGGGGCAATAGGTGGCTTTGATCCCTCCAACTGGATTTGCTAAGGAGGTCACATGGGGGGTGTTAGTGGTTGTTATTGGGGCTTTGATGGGTCGTTAACTCCCTTGTCAGGGTGGTGTTGGTCACATGCCTCATTGAAGTGTGAGTCAGGTGAGGGCGAGTGAGAGAGGAATCTTCTAGGTGTTGTTCCTAAAAGTGCTTTGTACTGTAGGTAGGTGAAAGGTTATGTCTAAGACCACCTTATATGTTGATAGGTGAAACTTCCCGTCAAGTTGCCTAGATTGAAGTTTTACCATGACCTGGATGACTGAGAATCTTCACAGATATATTTATAGAATTACCCTTTGCCACTGCCACATCCCCAAGTGTTTTGGGGTGTATCTCTACCAGATTTAAAAATTGAAATTTGACAATTCCTCTTCACACTATAGCTCAAACTTATTAAGACCGTATGGATATTGTGAACATCAATTTCGAAGTCTTAGCAAAGATATTCCGTTGGATGTAATGACCAGGCAGTTTTACATGCTATAAACAAAACTGCTGGAAAGGAAACCTATACAACCCGCTAAAATATCATGCTGACTCAAACGCTTTTCTACCTTGGTTGTTCTCTATTTAGCTCCTCCCCCCTACAATCAATCTAGGGCATCTTGAAAAGTATTTTCACTTCCTGAAAGCAAATAAGCACTGGGTTTTATTTAAGGTTAAAAGAGGAAATTTAACATGCTATAAATATAACCTTTAACCTGTGTTGATCTGTAATATACGTATCCCCAATATACATTGTGGTTGTGTGGCGATCCAACTTTTTATTCACAATAAACACATTACTCCAAAATAGCTGAAAATATCTTTGATAGACCTCTTTGATTAGTTGGAAGCCCTGTCATATAGTTCACATCCCTAGGCTTTAGAAATATGTTTAAAATTTTTTAAGTTATACATTTAAAGACTTAATTTGTACGTCTTACGTCTTATTAAACTGAAAAATGCTTTCCAAAAAAATCATAAATTAGTTGACTTAAAGGGGTAATTAAACCTTTATTGTGAATTAATCATGTATAATAGAGAGCAATTACATGTTTTAAACCTACATGTGAAACTGCTTTAGGCGAGACATTAGAGGTAAGAATACTGTTGCAAGGCTCTTTATGACCATTCAGAGTAAACAAGATCTTCTGTAGATAATTTTTAGAGCTTATGATGCTGCATTTGTTTTTGATATAAAAGCCGTGGATCCAAATTGACCAATCAGGAAAGAGCAAATAGTTTTGAATCCAAAATGATTATTTATTTTCATCACAGTTGCATGTCCAATCCGTTTGTTTAGGGAGAAGATTGAAGCCTTCATATCGCAACAAAGCAGCAATTAGAAGTGAAGAAACACAAAGGCTTTCGTGATGCAGATGCCGCTGTCCTGTCCCAGAGCTTCCACTCACCTGGGACTTGCTAACTACAACTTACCCTAACAATAGTGCGGTCTGTGGCGATCTGTGTAACAGCAGGTGAAATCAGAACAGGTCAAGTCAGGCCTTTGGCTGCACGCCTCGACCACTTTGGATGAGCCACACCAGTCTACTCCCAGTATGTCTCAATGCTTACATTGACTAACAGTCAGTGCCAAACAGAAGCAGAGATGGGCAGAGTAGCCAAAAAAAAATGTACTCAAGTAAGAGTAACAGTAATTCTTCCTATTCCTATAAATTATCATGACATCTAATTTTAAAATTATGTAATAAATAGAGACCAAAATGTAAAGTTTTGGGCCAAATCTTGTATTTTTAAGACTCTGATAAAAAAACAAAAAACTTTTCCAAACCAAGTTTCATTTGAATAAAGAACCTAAGACACCAGTTCCTGCTCTGACAATAAGTAGACTTTATTACTTTACCTCCAATGTTATATAAACATTAACCTTCTAACTTCTAGCACTTTTTTCCCGAATATAAATTAGCTGGGTAATTATTCAGTGAAATTACTTATGATGGATGAAATAGCCAAACAATTAATCAAGTAAGACTTTCCAAAAAAGTTAAAAAATAATCCACTGGACTGTGTTTCCAAGTTTCAGAAATAGCGTTGATTTCGAGGATTTATAGAGTGGACCAAAAACAAAGCTTTGTTTTGCCTTTGGAACGGGGGTAATTTGGGTTCTTTGTTAGGCTGCAAGACTCAATACTGGTCTATGTCTCTGAAAGGGGTCACTAGGGGGAATTGTTGGCCTGGTTGAACAGGCGAGATGATCTGTTACCCTGTATGGGGATGGGGGTTGCGATGATAGCGGGAAAATCTTGACTGAGAATCTTCACCGGTATAGTCAAGTAAGAGTAGTGATATTTTATCAAGATATAGCTTAAGTTAATGTAAAAAGTATGATGCTGTAAATCTACTCCTAAAAGAGTATTTTTGTCAAAGAAATTCTAAAGTAACAGTAACTGAGTACATTTAGCCAGTTACTACCCACCTCTGTACAGAGCCAATTTAGAAACAAACTGTCTAAAGCAATGATTGCTTCTGTGTCTTATATAAGAATCAGTGCTTTATTTAGCCGCTTCAGTGACATAAAAGTACTTATGTTGTTAAGGTGTTGTAAGGGGTAACACTTTTATAGACTTAGGTTTAAACTGGAAATAAACTGGGATGAGGTTTCCTGATAAAACAGTGCATTGCATTATTGTTCATAACCCAGTAGCCGTTCAACATTATGTGACACAAAACTCCTACAAAGTAGGACATCATTATGCATTAGAAGTAAATAAATGCAATTTTTCCACAATTACTTTTAAAAGATAAACCTCTGAAAATGCTGTGTTGTATTTATATTCCTATTATATTCCTTTTCAAAATACAGTGCAACCCACTGCCTGTCAGAAGTAGATGAATGTGTGCATAGAGGGAATTAACCTGTTTGTTACAGAATCTCACTTGTTTTTTTATTTTTTATTTTTTTTATTTTTTTTTTACAGAGAATTAATGAACAAACAGTAAAAAAAAGAAAGATCAGGAAAAGGAGCAGTTAGGTCAAGTTTTGTAAATTATAAACAACATCCAAAGTTTAAAAGTAACCAAGAGTTAGATCTGCTGACCTCAAGACTATAATTCATGTACTGAATGTACAAAATAAAGGAATATAAGAGTGCCAAAAAGAAAGTGGCTTGGAAAAACAGCCCCAAGAGGTCATGTTTAAAGTTCACCGTAAGTCTTTTAAAGCATTGATTCCCAAAGCTGGGGTCGTGCCCCCACTAGGGGTTCTTGATCAACCAGCATGGGGGTTTTGAGATCCTCTTGGAAAGTTAAATTAAACAAAAGAAATGCTGGATAAAATCCTTAAAAATATAAAAGCATTCCTTGAAAAAGAAAACCAACTACTCTGGTCATTGGTGCTGTTTGTAGTTTTATTACACTCCTGTTTGTTGGGAGCTGGAGAAATACAACTTTTCTCCAGCAGAATCCGCCCTGGATCCTCCCTGCTGAGCTGCTCTGCACACCTGCAGCTGATGATATCATCTGGAGGACCTGGACTACTTAAGCTGCCTTCAGACCTTGCCTCGACGCCGCAGTGTCTTAATCAGTTGGTTAGCACTTAAGCCGTAGATCCCTAGTGAACCAAGTTTCCTTTGAGTCCAACCTGGATTCTAACCTTTTTGTCTCTGCTTCCAGGTTTCCTGTTTTTTCCTCCTGTGAAGCTCTGGAAGAGCTTAACCTGCCGAGCCTGCCCTCTGAGCCAAACCTGAAGACTCACTCTCTGGATTTCCTAGCAGCTCAGGTTTCCGAGCTGGAAACACAAGCCAAGGTCAAACCAGCCTTTAGAAGTAAGACGCTGAAACAGCTTAAGGACTCTGCCAAACCAAGCTTTCTCCGGACCCAACAGTTCCGCTCCCAAAGCCTCATCTACATTCATCAAGGTACAAATCTGAACACAATCAAGTCAAGTCTCTGCCAAGCCTTCGCTAACAAAACTGTCTCTCTCACAGACGCCAGTGAACCGGTCCCAGCCCAGAACCATTGCATCAGTCTTTATTATATGTGTGAACTTGCAAATAAACTCTGTTAAACTTTCCATCCGTGTCGTCAGTGTTCTGCATATTGGGCCTCCCTGATACCCATCATGACACTGTTTAATTGATTTTGTAGTAATGCTTCTACACTTTAACAATGCTTTGGATCATGAGTCCATTCTGGTACCACTTTATGGGTTAGAAACTGAAAACTTCTGGTGTAAAGGACACAGTAACTTTGCAGAAGAAAATAAAACTGTTTGTTGTATCTTGGTAGACTTGCTGAATATCAGTTTAAACATGCAATTAAGAGTTGATACAAAGATGTAGAGCTATATGTTGGCCGGTTCAGGAACAAAGTCTGTGAACGACCTGATACTCAGGGGGAGTTTACATTTCGAAATAGACTGAGGCTAAAATCATTCAGTTGCACTGAGATGTTTTAGTTTCTCCAATGTAAAGGAGAGATAACTAAAATGTCCACCATGCCTTTCAGAGCTTTACTGATACACTACACTTACACTTACACTAAAATATATATATGTTTGTGACTGTAACATGATAAAATGAGTAAAAAGTTATGATTTCTTTTGCAATGCACTGTAATCTAGAACCCACTGCAAGGTTAATTTTAGAAATTTAGCCGTATTGAAAGGAATTACAATTCAGCCTGGAATACTACAGTGTTAAAATGAATTACAGCAACATTTCATGACATGCAATAATCTCACAAATGACAGCAAAATCTTTACTCACATCCACAATGAGAAAATCAAGCCAGCACCAGTAGTTGGTAAAATACTTCTTGAAGCCATATGCTATCCATTTGAGGAACATTTCCAGCACAAAAATGTAGGAGAAGACTTTGTCAGCGTACTCCAACACCACCTTAATGACTTTTCTCCTCTCAATGTAGATATCTTCAAATGCCTAATAGAGAACGACACATGCTCATTTAAAGCTGTTGTTAATCACTGTTTCAGGAAGTTGGTGTGGTCCTCTGGCACCCTTACCAAAGCCCCGCTGCTGAGCAGGATCATGAAGATAATGAAGGTCTCAAACCAGCTGTGTTCCACGATCTGGTAGCAGGTCTTCCTCAGCCTCCACCAAGCTTGACCCAATCCACGGCTGATGTCAATGTCACAGCATTGACAATACCTTAAACACACTGTCACGATAGTGATGTAATAAAAGATAGGAAAGTTACTTAGACCAAAGTGAGTACCTCTAGTTTAATGTCTGTCTGTCTGTCTGTTTTTGTGTACTTGCATGTTATTTTGACATTTTTAACATATTTTTTTTAGGATTTAAAAAAGTTTAGTTTAAAGGCACACTGTGTCACTTTTTGCCACTTAATAAACGTACATTTTTTATTGCAAAACAGGAAAAAAAATGACAGCATGTTACATTTTTACTGTACTGCATCAATCGTCATCTTGATTTTCTCTATTTTGAAAAATGTATGTTTGGTAATTGCTATGTTTACTGTGGTTACTTTATTCTTTAAGGCTAACTCTTTATTTCATACTTAGATGAAATTTCTTGTTTTCAAAGTTGTGAAAAGTTCACTTACAGTCAGGGAAGCAGTTTTCTGGGTCCATACTATCATCATCCAGCTCCAATAGGTCATCTTCCTCTTCTCCAGGCTTCCTCATATCCACTGTGCTTCCTTCTGAGAGGCTAATCGTCTCCTGGAGGGGTAGACAATTTACTGTTAACACACAACTCTCAATTTTAATGCACGAATAAATGTGGATTGGGCATCTGCAGCAGTAACAGGATGTAATCTGTTTACAGAGCAGGAAAAACAATGGATTTGCCCAAAATGGGGGAGCCAGTAGGGATTGATTCCATTAGGATTGGCTCACCCAGTTCCATTGCTCTGACTTTTAGAGTCCTCTGGGCAGTAAAACAATTTTAAGGAGATTTTTTTCTGTTTACGAAAAGCAGCATATTTCCAGAGATTTTTAGGAAAAAGGTGCAGACTCAATCCAATAAAACAGTACAGAGTTTAATCCAGCAATAATCAGAGGACCTAGGGACCAGATTACCAGCATCACCAATTTTATTGTCAATAAACAGAGCAGTAACAACAGCGGCGTGACAACAGAGCAACAGAGAAACTATGATAAGAAACAGTCATATCTCCAAATTGGGTTTAGAAAATTTGAACTGGTTATCAACCATATTCTTGTCAACTGTGTGTGTTTTAACGCTCTATACATGCAGAATTCAGCCTTCTTGTTACTGTGAGCAGCTGCTGATGCTGCGTTAAGCTGATGGCGGGTTGAAGGCGGGTGGTGTGATGTAGAGCATAGACAGCAGGCTGTTCAGCTCAGCCCTGGCTCTGCTCAACTGTTGGAGCTTAATCTGCTCTACAAAGCCTGGCTTCACATCTGGCCCGCTCCTGTCCGCTCGCCAAACAGACAGGCAGGAAAAGGAAAAGACCTAACCTCCACCTTAACACACGCCACAAGCTCAGGATTCAATTACTAGCTTTTCTGTGTAACTGAAACCAAGGTGACCTCATGTCATTGGATATGCTGCATAAAAAGGCCATACCTTTTTGCACTCATTAAAAATGGCCAGATCCAAATAATTAACGATGGCAATTCTTTCTGTAGGCAAACTGTGGACTTCTGTGGGCTAAGCTAACCCTTAAAGCTAGCTGGCCTGCATTATACAAAACTCAATTGCCAAATATTTCATGCTGAAATAAAGCAAATACCATCTGCAAACCCACCTTGTTATGTCGGGTTTTTGTGATTTGAAGAGATTAGACAATGTATCTTTTTTTTCCTCTTTGTGACATGTATTCTTTTCACTTGAACTTGAAAACAAATAAACTTGCTCTGAGAAAATGTCATAAAAGAAAGTAATCGGATTGCACAACTTTGTACAGCCTTATGCAAATACTTTAATAAAGCACCTTTGGGTTTATCTCAGTATTCACTCTTATTGGGTAAACACCTTACACCAGTCACAGTGGATCGAAATATCTAGAAATGAGTTTCAGCTGAACGAGTGACGTCACAACAGTGATGTCACACAAAAACCTACCGGTAGATGTTTTTCCAGAATGGTAAGACGACAAAAAAAACTACAGAAAAAAAAACAGAAATTGGTAATTGAAGTTGCTGAGAGAGGGGCAGCATGACAGAGCACCAGTTTGAGTCCTACATGCAACAAATGTCTCATTTTTCTTTAAATGTCTGGACTAAAAGTGTAAAACTGATGATTTCAACAACAAAAAAAAACATCCATGTCTTGCTAATATCCTCTAAAGGTAAAACAGAGTGCCTTCTGTTTCGGAATCTCCAGAGACAGACTGCTTCATCTACAACAACTTATTAAAGAAACACATAAAGGAATTACATTTATATTTCCTTTGGATGCAATCTTGAATTGAAGTGAATTGCACAGTGTGTAATGGTTTAATGAAACCCACACTGACATTAAAGCCCTTAGGACCAGAAAGCATGTTTTGGCAGTAAAAGGCAAAAGAAATCACCAAAAAAACACAAGACACATAATGAGACATGGTGTTGGCAGCATTATGCTCTGTAGTTGCTTTTACTCAGAACTTGTTTTTTGCTGATGTGACAAAAACTTTTCCAAAAACCAGCAAGTTTTAAAAATTTTGCTACAACCATGAAGATGTGATATTTTATACATGGCCCAGATTTGTCATGTTGATGGATTTAATTGAACTTTTTTTGTTTTACATTGGAAAAATTTCCCCTTGTATTTCACCCACCCCCTTGAGGAGCAGTGGGCTGCCATCATGAGGCACCCAGGGAGCAGTGGGGAGTTAAGGGTCTTATTCAGAAACCCAGAGTGGCAGTCTGTGGGAGTGGGGCTCAAACTCAGAACCTCAGGAATTAAAGCTCTATGCCCTAACCACTAGACTTTCATTGCCCGATATTTTATTAATGCTGAGTATTTATTTTATTTAACTTTCTACACAAAAGTTTTTTATTCAGCCTGTTGCACACCTGCAAGGCTACACAGTGTCTAGGCATCAGGAGTTTTTTTTTTTTTTTCAGGGGAAGATATTTAGGAAAGGAGCTAAGCTAAATCTACATTACTTTGTTTGTTCCAAATTGTCGTAGTAAGTGAAATCCTTTGACCGGAACAAAAGGATTAATGGCAAAGATTGTATCTGCTCTCCCTCGTAAGGATTAATAAATGCTGCTTAAATGAAGTCCACTAATTTGACTAGTGTTTCTTTTTAAAACACAACCTTCTGAATTAAATCAAAGGTTACATTCAGTACCAATCAATGGGGGTGGAAGTGGTAGTTGTAATGGGGATCCATACTTGCAGTTGAGTTATGGGAACCATTTTTTCGTTGTTTTCTTCAAACATATCCATTTGTTTAGTATTGAACTTTACAGTAGTAGTGTGTTTTCCACCTACCTAGGAAAGGATGTCATTAGAGCTCCTAATCAACATTAAACATATTTAATATATTAGTTGAATCGGGCTACTAATTGATTTATTGTACTTAGTGCCTTGTAAACTTATGCCCCTTAAACCTTTTAACGTTTTGTCACATTGGTAACATGCATCTATCAATCTTTTTTTTAACCCTGACTAGCACATCTAAATAAAAGCATCCCCACAGCATGATATTGCTATTACTACTGCTCATTACTGATCATTTGATCCACTTGCTTCTGCCTCTATTTAATGTACATGCATCGAGCTATCAGTGCCAGATTATCTGGTGAAAGGGGGGAGAGGGGTTAGCATACCATACTGTTTCTGATTTACTGATCCTGACCTGATGTGCCTCTCAACCACTGAGCCTGCCTGATCTGAATGGTCTGTCTTAACCAGCCTGTTCCTGTTCTCATCGGTATCCCTGACCAGGCTCCAGACTCCTGCATGTTCTCCGGGGCTGCGGCATCTGGGACACTCTGGGTGGTGCCCTGAACTGTTAAACCAGGTTAGTGACTCACATGGATAATCATCCTCTGTCAGATTATATTGGTCAATAACCTGTGTTTTTCTCTAACAGAGTTTCCAGTGATAGACGCTCTAGCCGCTAAGCTGTAATGAGCAACCGGGCAGAGTTAGACAGGTGAGTGGAATGAGCAATTAAGGCAGCTATCAGCGTCAAGATCATGACACCTTCTGAACTACTGAAACATACTGAGGTCGAATTATATACTGATGGAAATATTAGGAGATATCTGAAGGCTATTGGTTCCACTGGACCAGTGATTGGTTCTAAAATTAAGAAGCATTAATTAGCTTAACAAGCTTACATGCTTTGTGTAAGGCACCTTAAAGGCCTTGGGATCCAAACATAAAAAAAAAAAAAAAAATCCACTGCCCTTTGAGGTATTATTTTACTCAAGTATCCGCACTCTAAAAAATGTTGAGTTAAATATTATCCACTCAAAAGCTTTACCCATTATGAGTTATATTTAGCGTAGTATAATAACCCGGGTTACCAATAGGGACTGCTGTTAACCCTTCCATCATTATTTTGAATCTCATGATTTTTAGGCAAAAATATCAGGGTTTGGTTAATTCCTGTATTGTTTTATATTGCCAAACTTAACTCAATTTTTTCATTTAATAATTATTAATAATTTTGTGCCAAGATCGGATTATTGCAGTTCCTCAGTCACTTGATTGTAAAGCCCAAAAACAGTAGCAAAAATGTTAAAATGCTGCCATCAGGCTTCTGACAAAGGCCTTCGAGTTTTCAAATCTTGATATTATGCATTCGGTTTAATTCAAGTATAATTCGAGTATAATTCAAAATTGTTTTACTGACTAGGAGAGCTCTTTAGGACAGGAATATGCACTCATAGGCCCCTGACTTGCTGTTATAATAGCCTGCTGATGCTGCCTGTACAACAGAACTCTCTTCATTTGCACCAAATAAATAAGCACCTTTTCCACTAGCTCCACTTGGTCTGGCTATACTCCACCCCACCAGCTTTCAAACATTTCCATTACTGCTTGTTCTGTACAGATACTAGCTTTCTTGGTGTCGCGAATCTCTGAGGGACACCAGAGATGTAAAATAATGTAAAATCATTGATGGAAATGTGTGAAAACTGGTAAGGTAGAGTAGAGCGAAGCCAGGTGGAGCCAGTGGATAAGCTAGGCAGATTCATGTGTTTTTAAATCTACTTTCTATTTTTTTCTTTATGCATTCCTGTCTTTTGGGCAGTTATATACTTTTTTTGTAAAGCACTTTGTGAATATCTTATTTTATTTTCATCTGGAACAGTGTGTAAGTACCTCATTACGTTATGTGGAAAATTATTTGCTTTTGACACAAGCTTTTGACACATGCTTTTGACACAAAGACATACTTTTTTTATGAGAGGTTAAGTTGTTTGAGAGCAAGAGGGTACCTTTCAACTAGCAACATTTTCTTTCCATGTTTGGAGCCAAGATAAAAGCTAAAAGGAAATGTCCCAACTTGTTGAATATTTCAGATAGTTTAACAGTCTGGTGATGCTGCAACATTGTCACCAACAGCAGCCACAGCAGCCTTTGTGTGCAAAACAAAAGAAAGCAAAACAACCCAACAGCTTAAATATAGCACTTGATATTTTTTAAAGTCAGTTGTCCAAGCAAATTTATCTTTCAAAGTATTTTAAAGATATAGTTATATAATCTTCAGAACAACATGAGTTTGAAGTCAATCTTACTGGTTTGTTGTCTTCATCCTCTGATGACTCTGAATTCTCCTCTTCCAGGAACTCCACGTCTGACTCTCCGGGAGCGATGGGAACAATAACAGTCAGGTTTGGGTTGGTCATATAACTGTCCTCTTCAGGTATGATGTACTTTCCTCCGTAGCTTCCAATAGTTCCCCCATTGCTTTCTATGTGATTTCCAACTACCGGCTCAGCCTGGGTGGCTTTTTTGGCCTTCTGCTTGTGCTTTCTCAAGCCATGGCTGAAGAAGTCAACGATATTCCTAGAAAGCCAAGAAACGCCGATTTGGATGCGACCGATGGCAATCTGAATGTTGTTCAGGTCACCATCTTCTTCAGGAGCGGATAGGTTGTCAGAGCTGAAAGAGCTGAGCAATAGGGCAAGAAAGAGATTCAGCACCTGTGGATAGACAAAAATAATGTTATTTAACTCACAAATTCAACTGATTATTTAAAAAAAAATTGTCTGATAGATATTTTTCACCATTAAAACTCTTGCAAAAAACACATCCATATCTGCAGAGATTTTTCACATTTGATCACATTATAATCACAAACTTGAATATATGTCTGGAAAAAAATCACAACTAAAACTCCTAGTTTATATATGCAAAACACATGTTTGATGTTTTATTTATAAACTGGTGAATCAATTGCCTCTGGAAAACAACTAGTAGAGAGCTTAGATAGACATTAGGGATCCAAACGCATCATAAAGACTAAAGAAAACTGCAGAAAAAATACAACTGTGGAGTAAAACTATCAACATCCCCCTGAACACACAATCTCTGTAGTTACACAAGGAAGTGACAGCATCATCCTGAGGTAAGGCTGTTAGCAGCAGGGATAGGTAGGCTGATGGAGGGGACTGAAAGATGGATGGAGCTAAATAAAGGGCAATCCTGGATGAAAACATCGGAAGCTGCAGTAAAAACCTGAGGTAGATTTATAGTTTACGGAGACCCAGACATAGGCAGAACAAGAATTCACAGACTAAGACCAGATCCAATTGAGACCCTGTGACAAGATCTGACAATATTTGTTTACCAATTTTTTTTTGTTTTTGACTGACAATAAGATTTGAAAAATATATTAGGGAAAAAAGTGTCAGTTTTAAACATGACAAAACACTTTTAAAAGCAGCTGAGCTATTCTTCCATAAAAGCACAACATTAAACAGCCTTTGTTCTAAAGGATAAGGAATAATACCAGACCTGTCCCATATATTTGTCAACATTGGTAAATCCTGTCTGATAATTCAGGAGGATATTCTACAATATATGCGTAACATATATGGAATCAGCTGTTACATCCCTCCCCTTAAGTCAATGTTCAAAGCATACAACTCAAAAGTAATCTGTCAGCTGGCTTAGTGTGTGCTGGTTGGTGCACGCTCACACTTGCTGTGCACATCCCACTGGTGCTATGCACAGTTGGTAAGGATCATCTTTAGCTGCTGAGCCAGCCAGTGATGGGAAGCATGAGCAGATAATTTGTGATAAACTCCCTGTTCTCACCCCGGGCACCATGGATTATCCTTTAGATAGACTGCTTCCCCACAACTATTATGTAGAGAAAGTTTCTATGCAATAAAATCCAATAAGAGTGCTGTTTTAATTAGCATTTTGACCTACAATGGCAGCAGAGGGGCTTAATCAGATTTTAAAAGAAAACTTATAGCTATATACTGCTAATGTCTAGGGACGTCATCTATGTTAAGTAAAAAAATTCATGAATCATGAAACTGATGCTGTATCACTTCCTTGTCCCTTGACAACTGATGCAAGGCTGTGACTATCATGCTTGCTGAGTTTGGGCTTTAGAAAGAGATGCTGACCTCAACCCATTTTGTTGCTGTGGCCCTTAAAAAAAATTACATGAAGAATTTTTAATCCGGGCTTGAAGGCCAGAGGGTTTCAGAAGCAATTTCCCTCTAAAATATACAACTAAAATAAATAAATAGCACTACACAATTATGATGTCTAAATGCAACATTGTAGTACCATTGGTAAGATATTTTTCCAATGGAAGCACCATCACAGCTGTCTCACCTAGAGTTTTCTTTTTCTTTAAAACTGAGTGAAAACTCCATAAAAGCCATTGAAACCTATGAGACACCTCAGATTGTATAACGCTGTTATGTGGTTGCCATGAAACGGATTAATTTAGACAGGCATTAACATCTTTGCTATACACACATGGACAAAATTGTTGATACTCCTCATTTAATGGAAGAAAAACCCAGAATGGTCACAGAAATAACTTGATAAAAGTATAGTGAATAAAAAAACTCTGAAAATGAACAAATGAAAGTCAGACATTCATCTTCAAACATCCTTCCACAGAAGCAAACTGCTCCAGTTTTCTCAGGTTTGAAACTAGCTGTTCAGGCAGCAGGTTTCAGCTCCTTCCAAAGATGCTCAATAGGATTTAGATCAGGGCTCATAGAAGGCCACACCAGAATAGTCTAATGTTTTCTTTTTGGCCATTGTTGGCTGCTTTTTAGCTGTCACTTTTGGGTCATTATCCTGTTAAAGACTCATAACCTGAGACTAAGACCAAGCTTTCTGACACTGGGCAGCACATTTCTCTCTAGAATCCCCCCGATAGTCTTGAGATTTCATTGAACACTGCATACATTCAAGACACCTTGTGCCAGATGAAGCAAAGCAGCCACATACTATAATGGAGCCCCCTGCATGTTTCCCAGTAGGGACAGTGCTCTTTTCCAGATGTGCTTCATTTTCCCATCAGTGAACATAGAACTGATGTGTCTTAGGAAAAAGATCCATGTTTGTCTCATTTGTCCCTAAGATATACACCCAGATACTTTGTGGCTTGTCAACATGTAGTCTGGCAAACTCCAGTCTTTATTTGTTTTCAAGAATGGTGTCCTCCTTGATTCTTTCCCATTAAGTCAATTTTGGCTTAAACAATGACGGATGGTTTGATCTGACACTGATGTTCTTTGAGCTTGAAGGAGCAACAACTGAGAAATATGGATGTCCAAAAGCATACGCCATATTCCGTGTGCCTGCTTTGGTCTCAAACACTTCAATAAATTCATAAATCAGTGTTAGTCAGTGAGCATCGTTGATTATGTTTAAAGTCCAGCAGCTTCCCTCACGCTGGACCAGTGAGATCGCTATTGCCCCCTTTAACCTCTTAAAACCCACTGGGTCCCGGTAGAACTTAAGTGGGGGTAATAGCTCAGAATGCATAAAATTCCACCGGTAAAATTTTTACTAGCAGGTGGTGCCATTGCACGCAGCTCCAAGCTGACATCAAAAGTTCCAAACCCCACAGCTCCGGAACTTTTATAGCTAGAGGTCTGACATTTTCTGCATTTGTGGTTGACATGATGTAGAACAAATATAATACAATGAAACCTGCTTTTTATCAAGAATGTCTTTATTACTGCTGTTAAAAAAAGACCTATCATTTCAGAGAATAAAAAAACAACTTTGAGTCATGTTTGAACTGATGCAGGTTGGTCTGTATTCTAGTCACCCAATTTTAATTTATATATTAGGAAACTAGAGGGTGTTAGCTTTCAAATAATGCATTGCAGATGTAATTTGGGCTTACAGTTCCTAAGTTATTTGCTTTTCCATTTGGGTATGCAAAATAGGTGAGGATTACCCAAAATGAGGTGGATGTTAAGAGAATAAATCCTTATAGTCTTCAAGTGCTCAGTTAGATGCTTATGGTATTGAAAGACACAAAGTCAAGCCCTCCCCCTACAAAAACACTTGAATTAGGTGTGATTTATTTTGCTTTGTTCCTGTTATCAACAATTTGTTGAAAGGTTAGTCTATGAGACTATAATACAGTGTAATATAATATGTTGATTAAAAATCATGTTCTAAACAAATCTAATATTTACTGAATATGTATAAAAGTAAGAAAAAGGACTTTTTGGACTTTTCTTTGTGGCATTGCCTGTCAGTCTGAAAACAGGGGTCCCAACTGGAATCTTTCTTATCTTTAATCTAAGATAGATCTTTAAAATGTCTTTATCATTAAAAGTTACAGGTTATATTAATCCTGCCACTATTGACACCACTGGCAGATTGGCGTTTAACATAGTCTTTCAATCTTACCAACTGACTTATGACAGGAAGAAATTTAATATTTTGGAGTGACCCAGTTAGAACGCTGACCTGAATCTGACGGGGAAACTAAGGATTATGGACATGAGAATCAGGCTTTCAAGTTCCAAAGACTTGGAGGTCATGAATGAAGATAAATCATTAATAAGAAAATACCAATAAAATACCATGCCTAAATATATTAGCATCGAAAAGCTGGCTAGATTAGGCATAAATATTTTTAAACTATTGTTATGAAAATGAATCTTTGTCACAGATGTTTGTGATATTTTGTCTCTGAAAAGAACTTCTAAGCTGAATAACTTAAAATCAAACTTTACCTGGGTGTTATTAAATTTGGTCCTTTACATTTCATTTGTATGACTGTATAATTAATTATCTTAACTACTAAGTAATTGGTGTTGTTGAATGCATTCAACAACACATATGACATATACTAGAAAGGGGGTTGGAAACAATGCATTTTAGGGATCAGGACTGAATGAGGGAAAGTGCCAATGGTAAAGCAGCCTGGGACGTGTAGAAAACAGGTGTTAAAAACATATCCAACAGGAAATACTCAAAAAAGATTTTTTGAAAAGCTTCAGAGTAAAAAAAAAAAAAAAAGCAAGCACATCTTTAGCGTTTGGATACATTTATAGACAGAAATATGAGTATACTACGTTGAATTCATTGATCTAAAGCCACAATCTATGTAAATAAAGAGTGCTGAGATAAAACTGCATTATGTAACTGATGATTTAACATGTCAAGTGTTAGTGTGATACAGATTAAAGGCAAACAACACCAAATAAATCTGTGTATTTATGATTTGATCTTTTCCTCCCTGACCCTCTATCCATCCAGGACATGTACAGGTCTAAGGTCACTCTGCATGCAAATGGTTTTACCTTAATGCAGATGCTTTGAAGATTGGGCAGTTAAAATGATAAGTTTCAGAGACACTTCATTTTCCCATGCTGTCTTTCTGATGACTAATATATAGTCAGAGGGCTAAGGTATTGCACATATTTATATCGTATTAATCTACTGCCATCTTTTGTAATAATACCATACAAACACACATTTGTATAGAAAAAAACCTTTCTTCAAAAAGATTTGCATATTTAAATGTCTGTATATTAAAAGAAAAACAATAAGTTTTTGAACAAAAGTCAAATGCCTTGTTTCTACACACAAATTAGGCCAATAAAGCTCATTCTGGTTTCTCGTTATTTTGACCTACAAGGCAGCAGATTGACAAAAAGGTAACCAGATGGGTGGAACAGTGACTTTAGTGTGCATCCTTTCTTTAGCACTGCGCATCAGTGGTTGCACGTTAACTGATTAACCATTTCTAAACATGCACAGCTGCATGCAGTGGAACAGCTGGAGCAACAGAGACACCGTGGCCTCAGTTGATCCCAGTACTCGCTGTTTTTACCATACAGCATAACAACATGTGGAGATGAAGTAAGAAAAACAGATGGATTAAATGTCTTGTAAGCATTGCTTTAAATTCTATCAATCTAGTAAGCTGGTAGTTTTGTTAAAAACAAATCATTTTGTAGCAAATAAGATTGTTCAAAACCAATTCATGATGTGGTGCAACTCAACAGAACACCACTGCTGAGATTATCAGTTGAGATTGTCAGTATTGTTTTGGGTGCTTTTTTCTTCAAACCAATCAAAACAAAAAAGGCCTGTATCGTCAAACTAGTGTTCAGATAAAATATGATTAATATGTACTCACACAAGTTCTGAATTTTCTAGTGGATGACTATTCTAGCATGGAGCCTAGGGGGAAGTTCAACGGGATAAACTGACTAGTCGCCTTCATCTGCCTCCGACACCAGCTAATCAGCTTTCAACCACACCTCCATGAAAGCCCAATCAGCATCCAGTGTTCATCTTAAAAGGTCTCCAATCACACTCCATCTGCTACCCGAGTGCAGGCGGTGGTTGCGCTATGTCCGACTTCAATTCAGATGACTCCCTTTCAACTCACCTCCAGCCCCTCCTCCACCATCTTAGCTAAAACTTCATCAGAGTTTCATTCTTCCTGGACTCTTAATGCATTCCCTGTCTGACTTCAACCGGTTTCTTCCCAATGGGGAGTTTTTCCTCTCCACTGTCGTTTCATGCTTGCTCATCATGGACAGGTTCTCGCAACCTGTGTTATCCAAGCTGGACTTCCATCTTCCAGGTCCCTGAGTGATGCACTAGTATCAGCTTATGCAGTCCACTAGATCTCTCCATACAGCTCAAGCATACCGTCTCGCTAACCAGCAGTCATGAACTGACCAACTTCATCTATCTCCACTTAACCACCAGTTTCAGGCCTGAGGGGAAACATCACTGTCCTTTACTCCTGTTCATGCATATCAAACAACATTTAGCGCTATGATTCCTGCTGAGGTCTGAGCACCAAACACTAAAGTAATTGTATCAATAAAATTAATCTAATTGACTTTTATTTTCATGTGAGTTTTTCAGATTGAATTGTCACTAGATAACTACTTGTACAGTTTTTTCTAATGCTGATGCTGATACTAATTATTTTGTAATCAGTCTAAATAATGCGGAATATGTGCTGTTTTTGTTCTTGTTTTTTTTTTTTGGCCCAATCATATATTGATTTTCCTGTCTTCAGTTCCTTGATAAAAATAACATGATGATGACAAATGCAAGTGTTAATATGAAAATGTACTAACTAATTAAGGAAAAAAATATCAATACCATATATAACAAGAAGGGAGCAGCAATGTACGTTTTCACTCAATCGCCATTCCTGAGTCCTGCACCGGGTCAGCTAGCCATATAAAACATACATCTACAGGTAGAAAAAAAACCTATATTACTTCACAGGTATCAGCAAAAGGCATTGACAGCCTTTAGCTGTTAAAAAAATAGGAATGTAGCTGAAAATAATGCTTTTATTGCTGTTTAACAAATATAAAATAGGCTACTGTATATTTTGCAATAGAATTAATAAAGGTTACATTACTCCAGAAAAAAAATAAATAACTGAGCAGGACTGTAAGATCCCAGCATTTTTAAGTAAAAAATGTAAACCATGCAAGTAAAATCAGCATAGCGCTGAGAAAGTAAAAAACGTGTTTATAAAGGCTGCAGCTGTCAGGCAGTGAGAATATGATGAGATTATTTAGATTACAGCCTCTAACTGAGATTTATAAAGTCTTTATTTTCTCATATAATGAGCAAATCACAAATCATTTATTTAGCTGCTTCTCCTTCACATCGAGAGGAGTCAGCTGAGGTGGATCCGACACCTCCTGGACGCCTCCTTCGGGAGGTGTTCCAGGCATGTCCCTCTGGGAGGAGACCCAGGGGATGACCCTAGACATGATAGAGGGTCTATGTCCCTCGGCTGGCCTGGGTGTCTCTAGTTCTTTCCCAACCATGTGTCTGGGGAGAGGAAAGTCTTGCAGTCTCTACTGAGCCTGCTCCCCCGATACTGGATAAGCAGAAGACAACTTGCACAAGTAAGATATACATGGTTTACATCCTGTCAACAATTTCAAGGGTCCTAAACTGTCCCTTTAAGGAAGTTAAATGTATGGTGTACATAAAAGACTATTGGCCCTTCAGATTAAAATACATGGTTCAGAATTGAGTGTTGAAGTGAAAATGAAAAGAGTAATTGTGACTCTAAGATAACTTACCACCAGGTTCCCAATGACCATGACCAACATGAACACCAGGATGCAAAGAGGCTGCCCAGCCACCTCCATACAGTCCCACATGGTTTCGATCCACTCGCCACATAACACCCGGAACACAATCAGGAAGGAGTGGAAGAAGTCCTTCATGTGCCAACGGGGCAGCTGGCAGTCAATGGAGATCTTACACACACAGTCTTGGTAGTTCTTGCCAAATAGCTGCATGCCCACCACAGCGAAGATGAAAACAATGATGGCCAACACCAGCGTCAGGTTCCCCAGGGCGCCCACGGAGTTACCGATGATCTTGATCAGAGTGTTGAGAGTGGGCCAAGACTTTGCCAGCTTAAACACTCTTAACTGATGAACCAAAAAGCAAACAAAAACAGTTTTAAACTCCATCATTGCAAAGCTAAACAATTCAACATAGCTTAGAAGGAATTATTTCTTATACCAGTCTGAAAGAGCGTAACACAGAGAGGCCCTCTACAGTGGAGAGACCCAGCTCCATCAGACTGAGGCAGACGATGACGCCGTCGAAGATGTTCCAGCCCTGTTGGAAGTAGTAATAGGGATCCAGGGCAATTAGCTTCAAAACCATCTCAGCTGTAAAGATGCCTGTAAAAACCTGGAAAAAACATGCAGGGATAAATGTTATACAAGATGAACATCAAACACATCCTAAAAAAAAGAAAAAAAGATACATTTGGTTAGATTAGAAACCCTTTATTTTCTTCAAAAATTCAACAGTTATCCATCCACTATTATTGATTGATCACTTTTTAGGTTTTTCCTGTCAACAAATCAGTCAGTGTTGCTTTTTTTAATGTGCAACTCAGGAACTGCATTTAGAAATAATGGATACATTTACTGAACAAAATAGCAGTAGTTATAGTCAAGATCAGTATCGGTTATTGCAGGCTATCAAAGAACCCAAAATGACTCCCCATTGCTTAGGGGATGATCTGTTCTTCTGGTTCAATTTGCATGTTTTCTAAGCCAAAACATTTTTTATTTATTTTTTTTTTATTTATTTTATTTTTTACTATATAAAGCTTCAAACTCAAGACTAATTCTGACATTTTGAATTGAAAAAGCTTCCTGGGTGGGAAGCAAAACGTCTTCAAACTTTGAAACCAAGTCCAGTGGATCGCTTTTTTTTTTTTACTTTTTTGCAATGGATATAACCTGGATGACTGAGAATCTTCACCAGCATGTGACAAAAGATAAACAAACAGAATTAATACGGAAAATCTAAATTGGCAAAAATATGGCAAGTCATAAGAAAGCAAATCAAAAATAAAAATCTCACTTACAGCTCCAGTCATCAATTGCAATTAAAACATAAATATTCTTCTGTTTACATTTGATCAAAATGGCACTTAAAAAATCTATATAATTTCAACTTTTTTATATATTTAATGTTTATTAAAAGTCTAAATTTTGATCTGTTTTAGTCCACATTGACAACCATCGGTAGAGACAGAATAAGCAGCTCTGTATTTAAGAACCCTCTAGTTAATAGAACCCACCCTATTAAATGAGCTACATAATTTCATCAGTTCAAACAGTATATAAATCAAATATCCTTAATTTGCACCAATAATGGTTCTTTGTATGACATTACTGTATTTTATGTTTACATGCAGATTGAAATCAGTTTCACATCTACCTTAATGGAATTCTTAAAGTGCATTATCCTCTCTGTGTAATGGTTATATTGTCGACTGCTCTCCATAAAACAAAGCATTTGATTTTGTAGTTTCTCTAGAAAAGTTATTGTTCAGGTAATCAAGGGGTCCAGACTGTACCTCATCCCATTACCTTCTCTCTAATACATTTCAATTCTATCCATAATAGATCTACAGTTATATTATACCTGTGTCTAGATTTAAAAATGTTTGGATAGATCAGGAAACAGTGCTCGGTTGGTGTCTGCTGTAGGTAATTATTTACTACTTATAACTTTCTAAAATACCTCACTTCATAAACACTAAACTATCATTTTAATGTAGTTTCTTGCTGTCATCTTATTGCGATACGGTAACATTTTGATAAAGGTAATGATTTATGTCCGTCAAACAAAAAACCATTGATGTCATTTTCAGACTTTACAACATTGATGTTTGAGGATGTAATTTAATTTTAAAGTGTCAAAGTACAAGAAGTTATAAAGTTATAAAGTCCAGCTTTTTCCACTTAAGGCAGCTAGCAAAAGTAAAACCCATTCTTTCCAGACAGCATTTCGAAACAGTGGTCCATGCATTTGTGACCACACGGCTGGATTACTGTAACTCACTTTATACAGGGGTCAGTGACTTGTATATTTCTCATCTTCAGAGGGTTCAAAATGCTGCTGCACGTCTTTTAACAGGTACACGAAAATTCGACCACATTTCCCCTGTTTTAGCTTCCTTACACTGGCTGCCAGTACATTTTAGGATTAATTTTAAAATTCTTTTATTTGTTTTTAAAACTCTTAATGGCCTTGCTCCTTCTTATCTGTCTGAGCTGTTACATTCTTATACACCCTCCGGTTCCCTCAGGTCAGCTGATCAGTTGCTTCTGAGGGTCCCAAAGACAAAATGCAAGCTCAGAGGAGACCGTGCTTTTTCTGTGGCAGCTCCTTAGCTGTGGAATGATCTGCCTCTGAGCATAAGACAGGCCTCTTCTCTTGCTGTTTTTAAGTCCCTTCTTAAGACTCATCTTTTTTCCTTGGCTTTTGGCACAATTTGAGAGGTTTTACTTTGTTTTATTCTTTTTGTAAACTAATATGTATTTTACACTCGTTTTTTCTCTATTTTTATAATTTTATTGTATTTTATGATTGTGTACAGCACTTTGGTCCTGTTCGGTGTATAACGTGCTTCATAAATAAAGTTGGTATGGTATGGTAAGAAGGGGAGACTGAGCGACATGTCTTTTTTTTCTTTCAACCAGAAACATTTTAACATGATGAAATTGATATTGCACAGGCTCAATTGGACTGCCCCTTTCAACAGTATGACGGAGGAACCCATTCAAAATTATCTTCTAAATCTATTGGAAAAAATATTTTTAAGGTTTGAAAGTACTTTTTTTCATATGTTGTATTTTTTTCATTCCGTTCTAAATTTCTGAAAAAAAATACAACATCTAGAATTCTTGTTTTATTTTTAAAGTTTTTTTTTTTCAATTTCAAAATTATATATCTTACTAAATACTGTTTGTCTAATAATTTGCAATGTTTAATAATAGTATTTCAAAAAACATTCAAAAATGCAATTAGGGATGTGCTGTTTTTAGAGTCCAGATTCAATTTTAGGTTTTTATCAACAAGGCAAATACTCTGAATAATTAAGATTTAAAAAAAATCTGAATAGTGGAATTGCAAAGATTAATTATATATTGCAACCATCCTAGGTACAGGGACAGTTTTAACAGTTACTATTTTTAATGAAATATTTTGAAAATTCTGTCCAATGTAATCACATTTAAATTGTAGTGGCATTTAAAAGACATATGTAAATTTAATATAAAAATAAATGTATGGTGTAGAAACAATCATCCCTTGGCACATCACCAATGTGAAAGCTAAAAACAAACTCTGGTGCTTAGTGCTGAAATACAATATCTGTATGAAGCCTTTTGCCTCTTCAGTCGCCTCCTACTCTAATGTACCACCTGACAGCACTTGAGAGAAAGTGGGTTTAATGAAGGAAATGTTCCAGTTCTTATCTTAAAACAGCCTCTTACCAGATTGCCCACTGAGAGCATGGTGTTGAACTCATCAGTCATTGGGTAATGCTCCAAGGCCATGAACAGAGTGTTCAGCACAATGCATATGGTGATCCCCAGATCCAGGAAAGGATCCATCACCATGAACTTCACACACTCCTTCAACTTCAGCCACCAGGGGCAGCAGTCCCATATCAAATACTTCTTGGCAAACACATACCAGCAAGGAGGGCACTTTTGTCTTGATTCCTCCAGCTCTGCAAGGACAAAAGCTCATTAAAGATCCGATTAAATTTAAAACAAAGCTTACCCAACTTTTTGAAAAAGTTAACAAAAAGACTCCAATATATCTTTGTAAAATTTAAAAAAAGGCCCTGCTCGTATAGAAAAGTAACAGGCTTTGCTGATCAGGACTCTTAAAATTCATATTGAAACATTGCATAAAATCAATTCACTCTTTGCTAAAATTAGTTAAAGCCATAGACTCATAAACAACATATATTTTGACTTAACATACTACAAATGCAAGCAAACGTTTTCATCCTGCTTGGACCTTTTGAGATTCTGACCCAATGCAAGAACAAACTTCATCATATTATTTTCCGATTTTATGCAACAAACCAGCACAGACCAGTCCAAAGCAGCGTCACTGAAAGGGGATGGAAAACAACAAACAGCGATCAGTTGTATTTAGAATATTTCTCAACTAAACATCTAAGATGTGTGGTACTCATTTTTAATCATTACCTTTTCTCAGGCCCTCTAAATAATTCCCAATCAGTAAATCCTGCTTACTAATAACATAATCTCAATGTACACTCACCGGCCACTTTATTAGGTACCCCATGCTAGTAACGGGTTGGACCCCCTTTTGCCTGCAGAACTGCCTCAATTCTTGGTGCCATAGATTCAACAAGGTGCTGGAAGCATTCCTCAGGGAGTTTGGTCCATATTGACATGATGGCATCACACAGTTGCCACAGATTTGTCGGCTGCACATCCTTGATGCGAATCTCCCGTTCCACCACATCCCAAAGATGCTCTATTGGATTGAGATCTGGTGACTGTGGAGGCCATTTGAGTACAGTGAACTCATTGTCATGTTCAAGAAACCAGTCTGAGATGATTCCAGCTTTATGACATGGCACATTATCCTGCTGAAAGTAGCCATCAAAGTTGGGTACATTGTGGTCATAAAGGGATGGACATGGTCAGCAACAATACTCAGGCAGGCTGTGGCGTTGCAACGATGCTCAATTGGTACCAAGGGGCCCAAAGAGTGCCAAGAAAATATTCCCCACACCATGACACCACCACCACCAGCCTGAACCGTTAATACAAGGCAGGATGGATCCATGCTTTCATATTGTAGACGCCAAATGCTGACCCTACCATCCGAATGTCGCAGCAGAAATCGAGACTCATCAGACCAGGCAATGTTTTTCCAATCTTCTATTGTCCAATTTCGATGAGCTTGTGCAAATTGTAGCCTCAGTTTCCTGTTCTTAGCTGAAAGGAGTGGCACCCGGTGTGGTCTTCTGCTGCTGTAGCCCATCTTCCTCAAAGTTCCACATACTGTGCGTTCAGAGATGCTCTTCTGCCCACCTTGGTTGTAACGGGTGGTTATTTGAGTCACTGTTGCCCTTCTATCAGCTCAAACCAGTCTGGCCATTCTCCTCTGACCTCTGGCATCAACAAGGCATTTCCGCCCACAGAACTGCCGCTCACTGGATGTTTTTTCTTTTTCGGACCATTCTCTGTAAACTCTAGAGATGGTTGTGCGTGAAAATCCCAGTAGATCAGCAGTTTCTGAAATACTCAGACCAGCCCTTCTGGCACCAACAATCATGCCAGGTTCAAAGTCACTCAAATCACCTTTCTTCCCCATACTGATGCTCGGTTTGAACTGCAGGAGATTGTCTTGACCATGTCTACATGCCTAAATGCACTGAGTTGCCGCCATGTGATTGGTTGCTTAGAAATTAAGTGTTAACGAGCAGTTGGACAGGTGTACCTAATAAAGTGGCCGGTGAGTGTATGTTTAGCTATAAAAGTTTAAGAGATTTCTTAGAGGAGATTAATCAAGGGACAGGAAGAGTGAGAAACATAGCAGTCAGAGATGAAGCTGTGGACAGGCTTAAACCAGGTTTAGGTTGTAAAATATCATCTTAATCTTTAAATCTTTCATAGGCCACTGTTATACATATTATCTCAACATAGAGAGATATCATATGACGTCAGAATTTAACTTAGTGACTTCTTACTTTCATCCACTGTACCTACTGTAATATTCTGACTGACTCCAGGGAATGGGTTACTAAACATCTTAGCCTGTGACCCTAAAAATAAATTTTTTAATCCCATTTATTACATAATTCACCTTTTAAAATGTATTTTCAATCATTTAATGGTTTATTTTTCAGCGTTATGGTGTATTTAACAATTAATTTATGTATCAGACAAATGAATAAATCAATATTACAGCAAAAATATTTTATAGTGTTTCATGGGACATTCACATCTATATATTTTATTGTTCTTTATATTGTAGCACTCCATATACTTCAGTGACTGTAAAAAAAAAAAAAAAAAAAAAAAAAAACAACATCTTGCGACCTTCACAATCACCTTCACCCCAGAGGGAAGCTTACATATAGGAGTAAAAAAAACACAGCAGTGTCCAACATTTCCAAAGCTTCCTCAAGACATCCAGGAGTGACAGCAGATTCTTTACAAAATTCTTCACACTCTTTTGATTGTGGTTATGCTGCATAAATGAGCACAATCATAAGGAGTTATAGCATGTTTGTATTTAAAAAACCCTGCCAGTAGGAGCTTTGGCTTGTCCGCCATATTTTTTTACGCAGAACTGTGCACATCCTTGAGCCTTCCTCAAGGCTCCCTCCTATTCAACATCTAAATGCTTCGCTTAGCTCAGATTATATCAAACAACCATATCAGTTAATATAGCTATGCAGACAACACACAGCTTTACAATGTCACAAGGTGACTATGAACCCATCAGATCATTGGTTAGATTCTTAGAACAGATTAATATGTGATGCACCATAATTGTCTACAAATGAATAAAAACAAAACTTAGGTAATAATATTCAGACCAAAGGAGGGGAGACCCAGAGTTAGCTTTCAGCTTCAGCTACTACAGTTAGAAACCACTTGTTATGGCCAAAATCTTGGTGTCATGATGGACTCAGACCTGAATGTTAAGAGGCACATAAAGGCAGTTTCTAAGTTAGTCTTTTATCACCTGAAAAACATTTCCATGATTTAAGGTCTGATGTCCAAGCAGGATAAAGAAACTCACAGATGCATTTATCTATAGCAGAATTGATCACTGCAACAGCATCTTCATAGGTTTGCCTAAAAAGTCCATCAGACAGCTGCAGTTGATCCAAAATGCTGCTGCCAGTGTTCTCACTAGAACTAAGAAAGTAGAGCACATCAGCTCATTTCTGAAGTTCTTACACTGGCTCCCAGTGGCTCAGAGACCAGACTTTAAAATCACACAGTTAGTCTATGAATCACTGAATAGATCAGCACTAAAAAAAACAAAAAAAAAAACAGAAGAGATTTGTTATCAGTGTATCAACCTCCAAGACCACTTAGGTTTTTTTTTACACTTAGGTCTTCTAGTTCCAGCCTACTCTCTACACCCAAAACTAGAAGAAAGCATAGAGAAGCAGCATTCAGTTATGCTCCACTTAACTGGAACAAACTACCAGGTCAAACTGCTAACTAGGGTATTAGTTTAAGGTTGTGATCTGACTGCTTTAATTTCTTTATCATGTTTTTTTTTTTACTTTTATTTTTCTATTTTATTATCTTATTGATGTAAAAAAAAAACTTTTAATTGTCCGTGTACTGAATGGTGCTATGCAAATAAAGCTGCCTTACATGGTTATACATTTTCCTTGGTGTGGTGAGGAAAAATCCCGGCTGCTTATATTACAGAATTTGGACCATTGTGGACCTCAGAGACACGTCAAGCATAAACAAACCTTATCTTTTGGGAATGCAGACCTCTTTGAAAGACACAGGAGCAGCAAAAGGCAACTCTTCAAAGTATTGACTCAGAAGCTAAACGGTCACCCTACTGTATTCTGATTGTTTATAGTATAATATTCTATACATATATTGTAATATTCTGATGTATTTCCTTGTATATTGTTTTAGTAATAAAATGAACTAACCTTCCATGGCGTCGCTAAAGAAGCTGAAAGAGCTGTGAGTCCTTTTCCTGCGCACAGAGCATCGCTCTGTGGCAGTGGGTGAAGGCTGTGGGAGAAGTCTGGGAGCTGTGTCCACTCCACTGCCATTCTTCTGGTAGGCAAGAAACCAAGGTGGGGCTTCGTTGGCTTATATTTTTCTGCGTAGACATTAAACGTAAAAGTAGTTCCATACTCACTGTTTCTTCCCTGAATCTCTCCATGCTGTGAGCCGGCATGGATGTAGGAGTAAGCAAACCCATGTTGGTGATGCCATTCTGGTCAAGGAAGATGTTCAGTCGGCCGTTGACATTGAAGCTAGGAGTTAACACCTGGGAGCAATGGCTTCTAATACTGCCTGTCCTCTTCTTCCAGGGTGTTGCAGTGGAGCTAGTGCGACTCCTGAAGACCTGTCCATGGATGCTGTATTCATCGTCCCCGAAGTCGGCCTCTGAGTTGTTGCGAGCGCGGAAAGAGCTGAAGATGCTGTTCTGGCTTCCTCTCCTGGTGCTGAGGGGGTGAGAGGACAGTGTGGCCAGAAAGGGATGGACTGGCAAGGGGGATAAAGGAGGCTACAGAGAAAGACACAAAGAGGTATTAGCCCTAAAACCATCCATAATCATGAATTTATTTGTAGGGGGGCTGTATTGTACCACAGCTTCATCCATAGGATCCAGCTTCTCTTCAGCAGCTTCAGCTGCTGTCTCCTCTGAAAGAGTCCTGTGAGATCTTCTTCTTCTGCTGTTGCTGCGGCGTATACTTCCAGCTTTCATACAGAATGGCGACAACTCTGGGGACACAATGGAGTCTGTCTCCTGTGCTTGTCTTTTGGCTGCCATCTTAATACAGAGAGAAGATATGTCATAGAACATAAATCACATTTATTATTTATCTAAAGCACACAGGTAGGAAGATCCTGCACCTACTCTTTGCTCTCGTCTGAGATGCTCCATGGCCAGCTGAAACTCCCTCTCTTTCTGCCAGGCCTCAGCGATAGTTGCCTGATTCTGCTCCTCGTAAGCCATGGCCACAACGGCCAGGATCAGGTTCACCAGGTAGAAGGAGCCAAGGAAGATCACCAGAACAAAGAAAACCATGTAGGTTTTCCCAGCTGAGCGCAGAGTCTGAGGAAAATTTTTATCTTAATAACTACACTTCTATGGATTTCATCCTTAAAAAATAATAAATACTAAAACATCACCCAAAGGATGAAGATTACAGCGTTTTGTAAAAGTATTCATAACATTTGAATAATTCCCCCGTTTGAAACCACAGCGCTTCATTTCGAAAAAGAAGGAAAACAAAGATTGTGGCATTTGTATTAGATCCTCATGCATTAATACTTAGATAACACATCCTGTACTTTAAGCTGGAAGTCTTTTAGGATATGCGCCTTTAAGTTTTGCATTTCTTCAGTTGTTTTTTGTCAAGTTAAGCTCAGTGAGATTGGACAGAAAAAAGTGAACCTTCACCCCTTCATGCTTTTTTTTTGCAACCTCTCAGAAGTTTTCTTCCAGGAGTGTCCTTTATTTGACTCATTTAATCCTACTTAAAACTCAAGGATCTAAAGTTTTTGTCTCAAATAAAGCTTTTCTGAACAAGCCTTAAATATCGGCTAAAAGAACATCAAGGTTGTGAACATTGCAAATCTTTATCTGGACATGTGGTATGAATTTTACCTGCGCAATGTAAGACGCATTTCAATGTATTTCCCTTTGTTTTAAATCCCATACTTAAGCTTCTTGTCTTGCACTTCATCCGTGACCGGGTCGCAGGATCCTAGACTTCCCTCTCCCAGACACCTCCTCCAGCTGGGAGAGACCAAAGGCATTTCCAGGCCAGCAGAGGCACATATTCCCTCCACCATGTCTTGGGTCATCCCCTGGGTCTCCTCCCTATCAGGCGTGCCATGAACACCTCCCAAAGCAGGCCTCCAGGTGGCATCCGAAAAATATGTCAGAGCCACCTCATTGTTCGAGCATTTCGCGAATGACTAAGGTCCTAACCCAATCTCTAAAGCAGTGGTTCTCAACATTTTTTGAGTCGTAACCCCCAAATTTAACATGCACTGCTGTCTATGACTCGCATGCCCGATCAATATAATTATGCAATTATATAATCAGACAAGCCTTAACACATTTTAGCTATTAGTTTCTTTATGACTTTATTTTTTAACACACTGGGATTTTCGAAAAACTTGAGGCAGCATTAGGGGGCTAACTTTCCAAACAGATCGACAGTGTTCGCAACATCCCATCATTTTGCTGTTAAAATGCAAACGAATACCACAAACTTTGAATTCTGAATTATTTTCATCCCGGTCATTCACACTCAGCAGCCAACTTTCCATGCGCATGATGTACATCTTGGCAGGAGGGAGGCAGCAGAACCACATCATCTTCCAAAAGCAGGAGATCCACTGCTCCCCAACCCACACCCCATTTGGCCCGTGGTTCCACCTAGAAAACCCTTTCATAAAGTTAATGAAAATGACCGATGACTGAGGGCAGCCGTCCAACATGCAACAGGAACAAGTCTGCTTGTACAGAAACCGGATGGTCCCAGGTAAAATGTCTCTGACTCCCTTACTTTTGAATTGCACCCCCAAGGGAACCACAAGGGACATGGTTGAATGCCTTCTCCAGGTCTACAAAACACATGTTGACCAGTTGAGCAAACTCCCAAATACCCTCAATCACCCAGCAGAGTGTAGAACATCCATGTCCATTACAAACACAAGTGCTCCTCTTGAAGTTGAGGTTCGACAATCAGCTGGACTATCCTCTCCAGTCTCCCTGCCAGCTCCCAGATCAGCTTCTCTGTTTGGTTAAAGTTGGCACGTTGAGCAGCAAAAGTTCACTTTTTCCAACTCCAGTAGCTGCTGCTTGTGAAGTGCTTCAGATGCTCAGAAGCTCATGAGGCGCAGCATGGCTGCTCAGATACATCAAGATACACATAGTGAACGTAGCATAATTTGTCTAAAGGTAACAATCTCCAGGGAGAGGTTATGATTACTTTAAAGGTAAATATATAATTATCTGAAAACGTTTACACTGTTTCCCTGTAGTGCATGTAATCAATGCCTATTTCTTTTTACCAAATAATTTACTCAAGTTAATTTTTTTTAAACTGAAGTTTCTAGACTGGTATAATGGATTTTATTAATGGAAAACATATTAATCTGCAAAAACCCACCAAATATTAGTTTGTGTCTCTTTTTTATATTAAGGTTGCTCATTGAGGAAGACAGAACGGTTAACTTACTGATACATAATGATCTACATTATGAGACTAATTATTTATTACACTAATAGTCGCCTATGAATCTCTAAAAGTGTGTACCTTGGTGTTCATCAAGCTGTTTGTTGACTGAGGTTTCCTGACAAAACCACGGTGGCCTCAGCAGAACAGCTGATTTATGTGAAAATTGGTCTTATTTCTAACACATATATTAGTCTAATTTCTAATAGATTTTAGAAATAAAAAAACTACAAAACTTCCAATGCATCGTATGTCTGTAAATTGGAAGAAAAATAAATAATAAATGATAAACAAAAAGACTAAATGGATCAACAATGCTTTTGTGTAACATGGAAGAACATTACCCCGCAGCCCTCTCCAGGGACGACACTGTAATTACTTCAAATGCTCTTGGCCAAAAACATTAAATGTGTAAATTAAATTTTATAGAGAGTTATGAACGTAAGTTTAGTTGCTTGAAAGCTATTGTACCTGGTGAAAGAGCTCCTCCCAATAGTCTTGGGTCATGAGGCGGAAAAGTGCCAGAAAAGCCCAGCCAAAGGTATCAAAACTGGTGTAGTCGTAGTTTGGATTTCTTCCAACTTTGAGGCAATCAAATCCATCCGGACACTTCCTGTGATGGATATAGAATTAGGAAAGCAGATGATGTATTATTAAATAACAGGGAAGAAAAAACTAGGAGTAGCAAGGACAGATAAAACTGGGCTGGCACTCGGGCTACTTAGGAGTAAAACACCTCTCTCATATCTACATGTTCCCCTTTAACTTTTCACTGCATTAGAGAGGGAAGCAGAGATGATACAGTAAGTGCACACAGAGTCTTTAACATCATTCTTTTTAACTGGTTACAGCACTTTAAACCTGTTTCAGACTGAAGCTCTAAAATGCACCAGAGTAAAAGGGATTACACTCAGCCAGATGGATATCAAATCGCAGTTCCAAAAATCTTTGGCTCAGTGCCTTCATCCCTGATCTTCATTGTTAGCTCAGTGGTGTTACAGCAAATATTTAAGTCCTGCAGCAGAGAACAAGCTGCGCTTCCATGTCAATGTGAGAGAGGAATAATTTCATAATGGCTGGCAGACATCTGGGCTGTGGAGCACGGCTGTGAGGACAGCCGTAGATCTCACCGGTCTGCTAAGCAGGAATTTTGAATATGAACCACGGTAGGGAGGTCTGCAGACGGCTGCAAACATCTTCCCACCAGGCGGCTCGTTCCAGTCTGCTCCATTTAATCTAATAAAAATAAAGCTACACATATAAAACAACTTTGATCACTAAACCCACCGGTTTATATCAGCTACATTGCCAGCCACATTTTAAAAAGCACATTTAAAAGAGGGAAAAAAAAGATTAAAAGTTGTAGATATTATTTTACTAATCTAACAAAATACACATTTTACTAGATTTTAAATTAACTGATATGTAGAGAGAGACTGTTGCGTCTGACATTTAGGTCAGGGTAACACAGACCGCAGCTGAAAAACTGACACATTTACTGTAAAGCAAAATGTCAGGCTTATCAGGAACGAGAGCATATTTTTGAAGGTTTTATTCGAATGGTTTTATTGAACAGCCATGATACATATTTTGGGCTGAAATATCAACAAGTCTACAAGCCGGCACTAGATTTGCCAAAAATGCAAATAAATGCAGATGAAAACTTGCAATCTGAGATCTGGGTGAACTTAAGGTTGTAACAGTCAGATCTAGCTTTAAAAATAAATGGTAGAGCTGTGGGCTTTGAGGTGAAATGTCAGACTTTAAAGCTTGACCTATTTGTGAAGCACAATAATAAGAGTGTTATTAGCAGAAACTCTGTATGGCATAAAATATTTGTAGCTTATTAGGTAATTTATTAATTAGACATCAAAAAGTGTAAAAAACACTGGACTGTATTCAGCAAATGCAATAATTGAGAAAAAATATATTCTAAATATTTTTGTTAGTCTAATATAATAATTATCCATTGAAGCCTTGTAGTGCTTAAATAACATAATTTGCCTAAAAAATATCCATGTTAGATTGGCATCTCCAAATCACTTTGAGGTGTCAGTTTTGGCATGCATGGATGGATGGATGGATGGATGGATGGATGGATGGATGGATGGATGGATGGATGGATGGATGGATGGATGGATGGATGGATGGATGGATGGATGGATGGATGATTAAAGTGATTTTTTTCTGCTAATTCCTGTTAAATCAAGATCTCCATACCTTTTACTTACACATTTTCCTATGATTTATTCAATTCAATGTTTTTAAGATGCTGGAAGATTTTTAAATATCCCCACGGATATAGGTAACCGCTTACAACAGAGGATAACACAACATAAGAGTTGGGTGAGACATCAAACTGTTACCAAGTCACCATTTTGGGCAGTGAAACTGCAGCTCTCCGATCTTCAATGCTTTTGTGGTTGATGTAGCCCTCCCATCTGTAAGATTAGGTGGACAATCATGTCTTGCTAGATTTGACTTTTGCCATTATTTTCTATTTGAAGATAATAAATTGAACAGTGCTCAGTGACATTCAGTGCTAAAGAGCATTATTTTGTGACCTAGTCTCTGTTGTCTGCATTATGCTCTTTGTTCACTCTGGAGCCTAAAGAGAACAGTTAGATTATTAGTGTAATATCATGATACAAAGCTGGATTCTATTTAGATGATTTATAAAGCCATGATTACAGGGGACTTTATTAAGAGGTATCACAGTAAACCCTTTATCATTTTGAATCTTCTAGCCAAGAGTTTTTTTTTCCTTCAGCCTAACAGATCTTCCCCATGTTCATCAGGCTAAATAATAAATAAATAAAAAAAATAAAACAATGTCAAAATACCCTTTTTTAATGGGGGGTAAGGTTACAACATGTCCATTTCACCTTATACAGAAAAAAAAAACTGAACTCTCTTCCTTTAAGCTTTAAAGCTACAGTGTGTAATAATTACAGGCATATAAATTCAGAAATTTAATATATTATACATAACTATGTTATTTATCATCACCTATGAGCTCAGCCTTTTAACCATAACATTTGCGTTGCCTTAGAATTCGTTATTTATAATTACATAGGAGCGGGTCTCGCAGCCATGGAGGCTGACATCTTTGCGCTACGGCAGCGCAGAGGCAACAAACTAGCGATTGCGAGATCTCCCATGACGCTCGAAAATAACTACGGCAAGTTGAGAGAGATGAACTGAGACGGTACTGAACAGTAGATGGCAGTATTATGCCTGAGAAGCGTTTAGTCTGCCTGAAACCAAAGAAGAAGAAGAAGCAGGTATACTGCGCCTCGGTAACAAGAAAGGTAAACAAGGCGGCAGGCGTGAGTGACTTTGCAAACTGTTTGGCACTGTGTGGCCAAACATCAGACGAATGGAGGATCATGCCTACTCTGTATCACAACGAAAAGCGGCGGACACCGAACCCCCGTCATCTAAGAAGCGGAAACACGACGAGAATAAACGCAAGAGTGACAAGAAACGACAAAAAACACGGATCAACATTGGCACGGCATTTACACGATGGAAGTCACTGATGGAGGAAAAAGGTTTTCAAAGTGACGCTCAAGTGGCCAGTTTTCTCTTGGACAGGTAATTAATCCTATACACACAATTGTCTAATATCACTGCAGTTTTTGGAGTACAGGATGCTCAGACCTGTCTAAAACAATAACATGCTGCGTGATGATGCTGTTACTCTCCAGTATACTTATTCAGCAACGTCCCTGACGTTTCACAGGTAATGATTCAGTAATTTTCTGTAAAATAATTTTCTGGATATATACCTCGGTTACTTCTCTCCGGCTCCTTTGGAGATCTTCAAGCCTTTCCTCCTCTGCTCTCACCCCGCTGGCTCCCCTCTCTCGCCTGGCCCCAGCTGCACGCTCACCCCGGCCTCTCTGCCCTCTTCCTTTCCCTCTTCCTTGCCTTGTAACCCCCGTGCCACAAACAAGACTTGGACTCTGTAAACGGGGAATATATATTCTTCCAGCGAACACAATCTCGCTGTTAAACTAATGACTACAATTACTTCGTCTGTTTATATCACCATGCAAAGCAGCTCACCAAAACGTCACAACGACGTAGAAAAAATAACGGGTATATTTATTATCTTAAGTCTACATGAAATCTATACCCTACACAGACTAATGAAATACTATCTGTAAAATTATCTATGTAAACAAACCTCATCACTTGAGAAGGTAGGTGATGCGGACGTCGTGGAAGACATTTTGTCCCGTAACGCTCGCCATACTGTTGGGGGGGAGAAGCGATGGGGGGGAGACGTTCATGTTGCTGCAGTCTGCAGTCTGACCGCTAGATGTCGCTGAAAATTACACACTGTAGCTTTAATGAGGCTTTGTACATGCTTGCATTTAGATTACACTTTTTCTTTAACAATATTTTTTTAATTTATGTAAAGGATAGAGGTACAAATCCAGACCTTTTTCCTGTGCAATGGTAGTGTTTTTCATTTTTTAAACTGACACTGACAAAGGGCAAATTTTTAAAATATCTATAGAATCTGTAATAATCCAAAATGAACAGGGGCAGTAAAATGCAGCAGGAAAAGCACACTGCTAAACATTACAGTTGGTTTAATGAAAACTGAGAAAGAATTAGAATTTTCACAAGTCTGTGCTCACGACTGCTCTGTAATGGCTGTTTCTGCGCATGCGTGTGACAGTGTTTGTCATCATAACGTATCCAGAGCTTTAATTTGGAAATCTACTCAGGGATTACTTGTTGGAATACACTCAAAAGATTAAGCATCCTCTATGTTTTACGTCCTGACCTGCTTAGTATCTTGTCCGTCTCCACAGCCCGCTGCAGAAAGTTCCATCAGAGATGACACATGATGCAAGTTAAAAGCCTGCCGCATAGATTGGCAAGCCAACACATCAGGTAGCTGTGATGACCTCTAATCTGTCATCCATGTTTCAATTTGCATCATGTCGTTTTGTAGCAGCGTAACAGCAAGAACATAAAAAAATAAAATATACGCCATGTTACCTCTGACTGTACAACAATGTTAAAATCATACCAGATACCAATATTACCAAAACTAATTTATAAAAAGTTTATTACAAAACAATTTTGCTATTATTATCTATTTTGCTTGTACTGATAGTATGATGTGTCTAACCTACTATTCAAAAGGCTTAATGACATCACTTCTACCCAAAGGCCCTCCAAAGGATCCTCTTTTCCTTCTGACTTTAGCAGACATTACTGGATCCGATTTTGCTTCTTGAGGGGATTAGATTCCTGTGTTTTCTGGGAAGCTGCAGTCTGAGTGAGATTAAAAACTGCATGGTGGTGGCTCTCTGATGCTTGATAATTGTGAGCTGAACTACCTTCATGGTGCCTTTAGTAAAACAGCAGCTTATACTCTTCTTTAGCCCTACTATTTGGGGACATTTAGAAGCTCATTAATAATAATCCCCATGGGTGGATGATTAATTCTATTTTCATTATTTAATCCAATAACCACTTTATATTTGATCTCAGCTCATCTACATTTTTACTTGTCAGAAATGTAACACCTCTTCACAATTATGACCAGCTGTGTGTCAGCCTACAAAATTGACCTTGCACAATAAATAATAAATACTTTAATCACATAATAAAAATAAATACATAAGGTAATACATTTAGATGAGTTTAATGATTTATGTTTGGATGCATCCTTGTTTTTTCCTATAGCTTATAGTTAATGTGGTAATACCTGTATACATATATATATATATATATATATATATATATATATATATATATATATATATATATATATATATATATATATATATATAAAATGTTTTTTTCCACACAACGATATATAATGTTTTTTGTTTTGTTTTTCCCACGCAACCAGTTTTAGAAAAAAATATCTGTAAGTGTAAGAAACTAAGAAACTAAGAAACCAGTTTGTTTTTATGTGGTATTATTCTTGTTATGGTTTTGGTTCCATTTGAGTTTTCTTTTTGAGTTTTCATTGGTTTTATTTCCATTTTGTGTTTTTCTAGTTGTATTTGACTTTTTATGTATGTTCTGTCACGTGTGTTTTCCCTGACATCTCCTTGATTTTGACTATTTGCATTTTGTTTGTGGAAGTTTTTTCTTCCCATTTGAAACATTAAATCAGCAAAACTCATCTCTGCCTGCTTCAGTCTCTGCATTTGGGTCCTCAGCTAACTTACACCAAACCTGACAATTCTTTATCTTTTAATTCCATAACCAGAACAACTTGGGAAGGCTAGCTGTTGTAGCCACAGGCTTTCAGATTCCCATGGATGGAAGTCGGACTCACTATTTGCCTTCATAGTGGCAAAGGGGACGATTCACTCAGCTGTGCTTGTTTCAAAAGCATTTGGATTAACAGGATTATTCAGGCAGTGTTTAGGATTTCTGAACACTGCACCTTCGATTAGGAACCGAGTCATCCATTCAAAAAGGGAAAATAACATTTGTGTTTACATCTTGGTTGGTTTATTATGGTTGGGAATACAGGCTGCTCTGGCATATTCCAAAATGCTAATAATAGTGCTCAGAATAGTGTCTTAATATTGAAGAAATCTGAATTTAAAACAGTAAAATCCATTGCATTTAACCTAATAAATGGTTTAGCTTTCTAGATGCTAAAATTCTGAAAAGATAGCTCTCCCCAGCTGTCAATGCTGGGTTTCTAAGTAAAGGCAGAGCTGACGTGATTATCTGCACCATATGCAGCTGCTTTTATGGTACACCCAACCCTCTGATGAGATCGCTGCCCTGTACATTAAGCCTCACAGTGAACGTAATGTTAAAACCAACAGGAAATCTGATGTAGGCGGGGGGGGGTTTTCTGGCACCATACAAACTGTCTCAGCTGAAAGCAGCCAACGTGTCCCATTGTACAAAACCCATGCAGGGGATCAACATCCATTATGGTAAATATTTCAGCATTATATAACAGCCTGCAGCTTACTAATGAGCACAGAACCACTTACCCTGCATCACTTCCGTATCCACAAATTAAAGCATCCTTCTGGCCTTCAACTTTGTAAAAATTATCTAGAAAAAGAGGGGCAACAGTTTAGTAAATGCAGAGGAGTGCAAATGTGTGTAACGTTTCTTGACAGCTGTAATTTTTGTTTAAGGCTGACCCTCATTGCTGAGAAAGTCTGCTGGCGAGCTCCAGGTCCTGTTGTTGCAAATAAAAGTTGTGTTGGGGCTATATGAAGAGTTGATGCAGTGATTGAGGCTACGGACGCATTTTTGTCGCAGAAGGCCCATAAAGAGCTGCAGGCCGATGAGGGCGAACACACTGAGACAGAAAACGGTCAGGATCATCACATCGGCCAGCTTCCTCACAGACTGGATCAGAGCACCGACTATCGTCTTCAGACCTGAAAATACAGAGGAAACTGGTGGGTGTTGATAATTCCCAACAGCTTGACTAACACTGAGATTCTACTAAGAAGAAAGGGGGCAGAGAAAAGGATGTGATTGTTCCCCTACCTGGAATGACTGAGATGGTTTTTAGAGCACGGAGTACTCTGAAGGTTCTCAATGCAGAGACATTCCCAAGGTCGACAAACTCTGTGACATACCTGGTAGTTTACACAGAGAGAGGTGGAGGATTAGATCATTACAGTTTATGAATTCTAAATTCATTCTAGAAGCAATTTTGTTTGTTTCAGTTGGTCTTATTGTGTCATTAGAAAAAAATTATAAAGAGTTCAGCATTTCAGTACGATATTTATCAGTGCTCAAGAATAAAATATTTATATTCTAATCAGAATACCACTGGAAGCATCTAAAAAAACTGCTTGATAATGTTAAGAATGGTTTTCCAGAAAACTTAAAAATCTACTGGACTTTGTTTCCAAGTTTGAAGACGTTTTGCTTCCCATTCAGGAAGCTTTTTCAATTCAAAATGTCAGAATTACGTTGAGTTCGAGGCTCAAGATCTACAAGCTGGCACAAAATTTTCTCCTGTATCCTGGCTTGGTCTTAATTTCTCCTTTTTTCTCTTACAAATATTTGAAAACTTAAATTTACTGTTGACTAGTTGGGACTCCCTACATTATTTGCTAGCTCAGAAGGTTTTGAGAAAGCTCTTAGTGAGATCCTTAAAGGAATAGTACACCCAAAACATGATTAGCCTTCATTTTCTACTCACCCCCATGCTGAACAACACCCTGGAGTACTTTTTTGATATCTCAAATGCATCTGGAGATCTGGGAGGCTTCTTGCTGTCTGCTGACATTCAAATAATGGAGGTCTATTGAGCCCGAGACAGAAAGGTCCATAAAAGTCCACAAAAAACGTTTCAATATTCCTCCATACTGGTCGTCCAATGTATTCCAAGTGTACTGTGTGGGTAGCATTCAGAATTTACTCGAAACGAAGTCATTTAGAATGTTTTTAGAGCATAAACAGTAGTGTATAGGATTTCCTGAAAGCGCGCACATGCGCGTTCACGACGCTACGGAAGCCGGCAGACCAAACCAGATGAAAGTGCGCATTCAGCGTCTGCTCTTCCAATAATGCAAGCGTAGAAGAAGAAATGTGCCGTTTACCTGTGCAAAGAAAGAAACAACGAAAGAAAAATGTCTGAGGACTTCAGTGTTAAGGAAGAGCATGAGTTCTTTGCCGAGCTGAATGCGCTGGTTTGGTCTGCCGGCTTCCGTAGCGTCGTGAGCGTGCATGTGCGCGCTTTCAGGAAATCCTATACACTACTGTTTATGCTCTAAAAACATTCTAAATGACTTCGTTTCGAGTAAATTCTGGATGCTACCCACTCAGGACCCTTGGAATACATTGGACGAGCAGTATGGAGGAATATTGACACGTTTTTTGTGGACTTTTATGGACCTTTCTGCCTCGGGCGCTGGGCACCTCCATTATTTGAATGTCAGCAGACAGCAAGAAGCCTCCCAGATCTCCAGATGCATTTGAGATATCAAATAAGTACTCCAGAGTGTTGTTCAGCATGGGGGTGAGTAGAAAATGAAGGCTAATCATGTTTTGGGTGTACTATTCCTTTAAGTCCTCTTCCATTGTGTGTCCATAATTTCATGAAGCACACATCCAGCAAGCAAAAACTGCATAAGTAGACTGGAAAATGTTGACAAGAAATTCTTAAATACTCAGTTTTTCTAGGTCATGTAAACACATCATCTGGTGATTACCAGACTTGCTTAATTATAGTATTTCTACAATGCATGTTAGCAAGCTCAATGGTTAAATCTTCACTGGTGCAGACAGAGAGTCTGCATAAATTCGAATGAGAATATGTAGCACTATTGATCAGAATGTTTTGACAAGCGCAAAAAAAAAAAAAAAACTTGGGATAACTGCCTTGGTAAAAGATCACATAACATATGATCTTGTCTGTTGCTTATGGAGAATAGTTGCTATTCAATTAAAGCATTGTATTTTTATTAGCCTTTAAATAAAAGTGAAGGCATATATATTCTGTCTTATCATATAATATTTTATTTTGCTCTATTGTACTTCTATAAACGGTTGCACTGCCAGAAAAGGTGGGATTCATAAAATAATTGTGATTCTGATGGTATAATGTGGAACTAAAAATATTGTACATTCTATTGCAAGAAAGGATGCAACACCAATAATTGTGTTTCTGCTGTTTAACTGTGAATATATTATTTCACATATAGTTAATCATTTAATTTACCATTGTTTGGTATCTGTAAGATGATGTGAATAAACAATTAACTGTTTGATACATAAAGAAATAAGGAAAACAATTGATCCTTTATCTTGTGTTACACCTTTCAGGAACTTTACTATAGTAACTATAATAATTTTTAGTTCTTTTTTTGCTGTTTTCATTTCAGAGGAATTTATCAACACTTCTTCTAAAGCACCATTTGCAATGAAAAACATATTTTCAGGTTTAACTTGAATATTCATCTGAAGGTGGGGTCAAAATGGAGCTACTCACGCCATGACAATGACAGTGAAGTCGAGCCAGTTCCAGGGGTCTCTGAGGAAGGTAAACGGCACTAAACAGAATCCTCTCGCAAAAATTTTTATTGCCGACTCGAAAGTGTAAATACCAGTGAAGGTGTACCTGGAAACCATCAGACAAAAAGATGATGAACATGAAGCTGTGACAGTCAACATGCACAAAGACCAGCTTTAAACTGAACTGCAACAGCAGCAGAGCAGTAGATGAGATAATAAAATTATCTGATTATCTGAGAAAAAAAATTGAGAGCAAGATAGAAAATAACATGCTGAAGAGTAAACAAAAAGAATGACGGTTATGAGACATTGTTATCTGTATAAAAGTATTCATTTGGCATATGAAACACAACAAGGAGCAACAGCATATGGTTAAAATAAAAGCATTTCTAAGCAGTATCCAAATATCTTGTAGAATATGAGGATGCTGCAGTTTTTGTTAAAACAGAATAACAATTTAAATCCCTCAAATATATATTTTACACTATGACCCGTTGAAGAATAAATACACACTCTAAATCAGTTGGCCACAACATTTAAAAAAAAAAAGCTGCAACCTTCTGGAAAAGGAGCATAAATTCAGAGATGTTAAGTAGTGAGGATGGAGGATATATTAATCTTTCTGTGAGAGAAACAGGGGTCACAGTTCAACATTCTAAGATGAATGTTTGCAGTTTATCACTTTACAGGATTTGTGGATTTCTTTCTTTTATTCTAACAGATTTGTTGATATTCACGCTTAATATGTGTAAAAAAAAAAAAAAGCCTTAAAACTAAAATTAATATAATTTTACTTGGAATTTAGTTAAATTAAAATACTCTCATGTCTCGAAATGTTTTTTGTTTGCAACAAAATCAAAGTTGGCACAACTGTTCATACAGCCTTCAGTTGATACTTTTAAAACAAAACATATGATGCTATAGTCTTCTCTTAAAACCTCCCACAAGTCTGCAGCATACAGAGAAAGTTCTACAGTGTGTCCTTTGCACAGTCTCTCTCGATTATTCAGAGTTCTGGGTTCTCTCCTGTTTTGCTCTACTTGTTTAGCCACAGAAGCCACTTCTGGTTTGCTGAAAGTGCTGTGGTTGCAATTGATCTTCATTATGGACTTCTATTTGTGCATCATGACTAAATTTGAAGCAGAAAAAAATAAGGTTTAAAATATGCAGTTGAGGTTCTGCAAAAGGGTTGTCTCTTTATTCACCTCCAACGCTGCACCTGCCTGATCCTGATATTATTGTTTGAATCAGTTGTGAGGGACTTCACAACCAGAATAGGAAGCATACATTCTTCTTTTCCTACCTCCCTCCTAAAATTTTACTTTTTTATGGTGACCACTAAGGAGTCCATATCAATTTGATAAATGCGGATGCAATCTTTGATTTTGGTTCAGGTGAACCATGTTGTTTGATGATATATTACACCAGTTTGAGAATCTCAAACCTTCTCATATCTCAGAGATTTAGTGATGTGTAGTAATGCCATGCACAATAAGAACTTCCAGTCCCTTTGAAGATAAACTTTTAACCAATCTAACAGTATGATCTGATTAAAGTGTCTTGAAATCACATGTGCTGTAAATTGATGGTATATAAATAAACTTATTTAATTTAAATTAAAAATAGGCCCAGAGTATCAGCAACATTTAATTATGGCCAGCTGAAAGTAGATAGAAAGAGCATCTTTATTTCCCGTGGAGGTAAGAATATTTTAAATGTATGATTTCCTTGTATTTTAAAGGGTTTGTTAGGGTCACCAATATGTATTGCACCAAGCCAGAGATTGGTAAATGAATCCTTTTTATTCCTGTAAAAGTCTGAAATGATCAAAATTAAAAATAATAAAAACTTTTAAAAATCAAGCAAAAAAACTATCTTTAAAAATTAAAACAAGCAGTGATCATCTTTTAGTTACAGAAAGTGACACTGCTTATTTCACCTTCAAAGCCGCACTAACTAGTCATCTCTCTTCTCAAACGCTGAAATTATGAATTCATCAAATGTAAAAACTTTTAGTATTGGGTTTTATCAAACTGGTGGACATCAATATATTACCAACATTTTTTGTCTGTGTAATCATGTCAGGGGTAAATAATTTAATACAGCTGTTAAAAAAATAAATAAAATAAAATAAAAGCTTTTTTTGAAGGCAGACAATGTGTCACACATTAAATGAAAATAATTCGATGATAAACAGCTCAGTTGAAGATAACACATCATGCAAAGCACAGGTAGTCCTTGAAAACACTTGGAAAGCTTTTCTCATTCCACAGCATGCCGAAGTTGTGTTCAGAGTGCCGTAGTCATGACATGTGTCGCATATGCTTATACTTACTTTTTTTGTAATTCTGCAGAAGTCACTGATAAAGCAACAGACCCCAGCAATTAACCATTAGAAAATATATAGCAAAGATTTTAGACAAAGAAAAGAGCTTTAAAAGGGATAAAGATACATTTTTACTTACTCCAGATATTTGGTCCATGTTGGCGGATCGGACATGGCCATGAAGAAACAGTTGGTCAGGATGGTGAACATTATGAAATAGCTAAACAATGTGGAAATGGTTCAGGAAAGTGTGGAGTGGCACAAAAATCTATAATATAACATATACTTACATTTGAAAACTATCATTGCTACGCTGTAAACTAACACTAGGATAAGTAGGTAACATTAGAGACAGTCAATTGTTTTATACTAACTAAATATAGTGTCTTGCAGAAGTATTTATACCTCTTAAACTAAAAAAAATCACCTGTGCAAACTCTAATGTACCATATCAGGATATCTATCTGATGAATTAATAAAGCATGACTGCAAAGTGGAAGGAAAAATTATACTAAGGTCGTTTCATTTTTAAAATAACAATTTGAACCTAGTGCATGCATTTGGACTTGGTTATCTTCAGCTTCTTTTCAAAGAACAACTACATTTGCTAATCTTGCCAAAGGCCTTCAATTAGATACAAGTTGGAAGTTCAACATTCAACTTCAACATTTTTCACTGGTATGGTAATAAGATAAAATGAGCAGATTGTGCGTTCTACTGGATGGATCTAATGGTTGTAAAATAAAGATAAGGTTCTAAGCCATGTTGTACGGTTAATAATAATTATTATTATAATACTAAATAAGAGCACTTTCTACAGGTATCATATCTTAAGCGCTACAAACACAAGTAAAAAAATATATATTTTGAAAATCACTAGGATAGGAAAAACAGTTTGTTAGGAAAGGCATGTGCATTTTTATCCTGTACTATCATGTCTCTTTGCAGGCTCTCTTGATATTCAATGTTTTTTTTTACAAACATACTATTCAATTAAAGTTTATTTTAATGTATAAAAATAGCCTGCTGTCCAGCTACATTAATTTATGGCCAGCTGAAATTAAATTTTTTTTCTCTACTATTATTCCACTGTTATTTTTGAAGGTCCAAATATGTTTACATGAGCACAGAATCTCCATCCTCTGTCATTGTACCAATGCTTACTTTGTGACAACAGTGACGGCAGATATTTCGGCTTGTCAGTTTATTCCTCACTTTAAGAATTACTAAAAAAGGAAAAAAATCTGCTTCCACGTTACAGTTTAAGATTTGTAAAATAGTTTTGGTCATTAGAATGTGAATATTGCATACGTGAATACTGATGAACAAAGCTGTTTCGCACATTCTGTCTGCTGAATGGTAAATGCAAATCACTTTGCACCTTTCTGCTTAGCTAGTATTAAACACTTTTGCACCTGTTTTAAGATGATCAGGCCCAAAGTGCATAGCATTTGTCCTGAAAGGTCAGTTTTGGCTTCATTTGGGCAGAGCAACATTTTCTTGACCTATGCATGACTATCAGTTAAAAAAAAGATATCCTCACCTGAGCTGTGGACCTTTTGCTTTTAGAGTTAATTAACACCCTTCTTTCCACACAGAGCAGCTTTATTTGCATGGAGATTAAATCACACACATATCATTTAGTAATTAGGCGGTATTTGCGCTGCTTTTTATTCCATAGACTAGACTAGATTATGTTTGCAGGGTCATGGGAGGACTCCTGCCTATATCTGAGAATCATTGGGGTATACCCTGGTCAGGCCAATGATCATTACAGAGCAGTCATGCCCCAACACTAATACTTAGGAGAAATTAGTGAGACCAGCTAACCTCACAGTCATGTTTTCAGAACAAAGAACGTAAAACCTTCAAATAATGAGTCTCAAACTAGGATTTTAACACAGGAGCCTCTAGCTCCATCAACTGCTCAACTCTGCCTCTTTGATTTAGTTTGTTTCACATATTTAGCTCCAGTTCATGACTGACATCATCAATAGGAATCACAACAGGGAAGTAGGAGCACCCTTAAAACCACAGTTTATGTGAAAGAATTAAGTATTTCTGTGGTCTAAAACAGGAGGGAAACTAAACTCTAACTGTTAAATGGAGAATTCTAACTCTTTCTTAATAGGTTCTTAATAAATAAATAAAAATATTCAGGAAAACCAAAAACACATGCCAAAGAAAATACATAGAGAAATATTAGAAAAAGGCTTTTATAGCATTTAAATTAATGCTAATAACATTTGTTCACATTAGGACACATGGGATATTTTAATCTTCCTTTAAGCTTAAACTTTAGTAACAAGTTCTAGTCCACATTATCTGCCGTGTTGTCTCAAAATTAGTCTGGAACAATAAAAATCATACATAATGTATCATGCTTATAGAAAAAGAAGCACATGCACAGAAACCAACAAACTACTCGAAAAAGGATATGAATGGACTAAAATTCTGATGGCAATCGATCTGATGAAGTGAAATGGACTTAATATATAAAGTGCAGATGTGGCGCTGAATCTGAAGATGGCCTTCCCTTTGTTCAGTACTATAAAAGTCTGCAAAGAAAATAAAAGGACAAAACCATCACTGCTGGTTGAAAAAAAATCACGTTTAAAACATTGTTCTTTACATTTTGAATCTATCTCTATGCTATCAGTTGAATGGAGAAACCAAACATCAGCTGGGAGCAGCTGTTCATCCGTTTCCTGCTACCAAGAGGGGATGACAGAGCAGCCGTAGTGTTGACTCAATCTCTCTGGCAGCTATCCGGGCAAGTTGAGATAATGGAGGCAACTCCAAAGCGGACTGAATGTTTCCCCAACAGATGTAGCATTTATTTAAATATTTTGTGGTCTTTGGATAATCCTCCCATTCCGCAGCGCATCACATGCCAAAACAAAGAGACCCTGAGAATGGCTGCCATGTCCTGTTTTCATCTCTTCATTAATGGGCAGCAGGCTGATCTACCAGCTCAGCAAATCAAAACTTGCTAATCCTATTTCAGCATCCACCAGAGATCTAAAGAGACACAGACAGGGCGTCTTAGCTTCAGTCAGCTGCCCGAAGGAAATAATTTGGAGTCACACTAATATTTCATGTTTTAAAGCCCAAAGCGAGGTTTTATTTATTTCCTGATGAACCGAAACTGTCTTGTACATAAGAACTGTAACAACGCATATGTGCCTTTCAACATTACAGTCTTTTACAATTTTTCTGATTTCCAATAAATCTATAAACCTTATTATTGGATAACATGGTAAAGGGAATTAGGAACACGTCAAATGTTCTATGATATGGTAATATCTGCTGTCTCATTTCTGCCTTGTATTTTTAAGCAAATTCTTTGCACAACAATTTTACCCAATTTAAATAGTAACTGTTTGTTTTTGCATCAAAATAATTAAGACAGCAAAAATTTTACTAATAGAATAAGTGTTGCTTTATAAAATTGAGAAAAATCTGATCAACATCTGTCTAAAAAACTAAATATTTTTCATAAATAAACAAAATAAAAGTTACTTTGATGTTTTAAAAAGAAGACTTTTTAAGAATATTAGAGTGAGTATAAGCTTCCCTTTTCTCAGTAAATAAATATGAGGAGACACAGTGCCCTATTTCACTATACCAGTCTCCATGGATGGAAACACAGAAAAAACAAAAAAATTTGCAAACTACATTACGGCATACGTCACTTCCCCCAATTCCCATTAGTTAGTAAAGACGGAGGTTGATGCGACCAAGGCTCTGTCCGTATTTCCGCTGTAACCCCTAAATCCTCATTCACTATACAGAGTGAGAATATAAAGAGGACTATATAGAAAACGGTGCGTTCGCCATCAGTGGGCCACTGTCACAATCAATCCCATGATGCTTTGCGAGGAGAACTCTAACAAATTAATCTAGGATATCTGCTTTTCTAGTGCCCGTGGATAATTACTACTTTTCGAGATGCCTTGTGGGAAATTTCGAGTCCACTACTTTTTCATCCACTAGAAAATCTGACAATTATTTAAAATGGTGTAACCACTATAAAGTACCCTATATGGTGATTAGAGCAGACATTTGGACACAGCCAACGTTCTCCTGAGAGGCTGTATATTTGTGCAAATTGTGCAGGGTTGATATTCAGGCAATGGGGCATCTTAGTGTTGGGATATATAAGTGTGTTTACTGTGAAATTATCAAATATAACCATATTTATCTGTTTTAAGGCTCTAAACTTGTTAGCACCTCAGGTTGGGTGGATGGGTGGGGGTGCAGGAATATGGTACAAAAATAAAGTCAAAGGTTTCTTATTTTTCAGCATTGTCATATAATATTATTTCACCACAGTAAGATTCATTGCCTCATCGCTACTAATCTTTTCCTTCGCCACTGGAAATAGAAATGTAGTTCAGTCCAACTGCAGGCAACCTGGAGGTTAGTATTTTACGACGCTACGTTCTGTACCACACTGGTGCTCATGGGAAATGTTGTCTTCCTTCAGGTAAACCAATGCAGCTTTTGTCCAATGAGGGGAGCCGAAATCGACCCAATCGGATAGTTCTTTAGTACTGCTTTAAAAAGGGAAGAAGTATAACTAACTGACATTTATTTGTGTGTTTCTAAAACTAACTGGAACATCACACTAAAATCATACATATGTACACTTTGTTTCACCTTTGTAACCTTTTAAATTCTTCCCAAGATAAATGGTGCTGCTTATTTGCTCAGCCAAGCAAAAGACATGCACGTGCTACCCATAGATACTGTATACCTGTTTAAAACGTTGTAGAAGAACAGACTGATTTGCTAGCAGGGTAATAAAAACAGCTGATCTCCATTTTTACGGTAAGCTTTTATTACACAAGGCGGGTAGTGTAGCCCAAAATTGTACTGAGGTAAAACTACAACATAGCCAATTAAGGAAATAATAATTACAGTAAATGATTTTGTTCTTCATTTAACTATTCATTAGTTTTAGTTGACTATATAATCCTGTCACCAGAATTATGATCACAGTCAACAGAGATGTTCAGGCAAGCTGAAGGAACAAACTATGAACAAAAGAAATTACTCAAGCATTCCTAACTCTCTGCTTGAGTAATGCAGAGGTTCTCTTCTATCTATACAGACATGCAGAGACAGAGATAACCAAAGCTTTTACCTTCTGGTTCTTGTAGTAAAATGGATCAATGTCCTCCAGTGGCACCCCGACCAGCTCTGCTGGAATGTCACCAAAGATGCGCGGCAGCTGCTTGCCCGCCTCCAGGTCCACCCTGGGTTTGGTTGTCTCAGCATTCTTGTAAGTCTCGGTGCAATCCTTGGAGCTCTTGGCTTGCTCCTCCGCAATCCGCTGCTCCAGGGCAGCCAGGGATTCGCGAGTGAACCGCCGCAAGCCATCAGGACCCGTTGGTAAGAGCATGGCTGCCATCTTTTCATCCTGATAGTCCTGTACTAGAATTTACTTATTCTAAGTGGAAGGGAAAGGTGGCAGAGGAAGACATGCAACAGGGTCAGCAAGTGTGATCAGACAAATGAATGAAATAAATTCTATGATAAATTTGACTAACACATATTTAAATAACAAATTATGAAAGAAAAAAAAAATGCCATCCCTTAGAAAAACTGTTTTCTGAATTGTTCCCCTGAGCCTCTTACATGGCTGTCAGGCTATAGTGCCTCACAGCCATGTAATAGAAGATGTGATTTATGTGCAACATGGATGGCAAATAATAATAATAATGTGTTTTTATTGATTTTTCATATTCAAAGAATTGACATCTCATTCAAAACATACAGAATCAAAGTAGTAGATTTAAATTTTACATCACAAACAGATCAAAAACACAGACAAACTACCCCAGTTCCAGACACTCTTAGGTTAAAACTAAATACATAAATTTGAATGATAATAATAACAAATATGATAATAATTCAGAAAAAAGAAAAAGCGGGTTGCAAATAAAATCACACTCTGGTAGACCCCTCCATTTCAAATTAAGTGAATAAACCTTTTAAGAGATCCAACACATCCCTTGTTATCCTGTGTCCCCCCAAAAGGTGTTATTCCAAGGCAGAGAAATTCCTGATTTTCTTGCTAACCACCACCAGGGGCATTATTAGGGAGCAATGTGTGCTGAGTGTCCAGTTTGCTGGCAAGCGGACCACTTTCTTCAATCTTGGATCCAAAGTCAAATATTATCTGCTTCCTACACAATCTAGTTCACCAAAAATGTATTCCTTCCTTTTAAGGCAGACTATATTGTATAATGCAAAATGCAGTAAGGAAGTAACCCTGTCAATAAACTCTCGGTTTATACATGAAAGGTAACAAATTAAATGGCTACCATCTGCAGTGTTTTTCTGTGGTACAGTGGAGATGAAACAGAGAAACAATTCCTTAATTTCTTTACAGCATTATCTTATATTTGTTTTATAAAGTGAACCCTTCTTTTGGGGGAGGAAAACTCTGTGAAATTGAGCTTGAAGATTACTTAATAATAATAATAATAATAATAATAATAATAATAATAAGTAATAAGATTGGCCAGAGTTGTGAGGAAATGCTGCTATTTCCACATTTTAATGCCACATTTCAGCACAGGGTCCAAAGTATGAAGATAAGAATGCGTGGGTTAATGCACATTTTTAACAAAGCCAGCATTTAAACTATCGCCTAGTTTGCATGAATGTTGAAATCCCCACTATGCAAAACACATCCATATGCTTATATACGTATGTTATTGATTATTAATTATATTTGTAAAACACAAAATTAAGCCAAGTAAGCCCATCTAATAAGCCAATTTCATGTTCAAGGCAAATCTGTAACCATTTGATTTAGAATTGTTAATTGGTTTGAACAGATTCCAACTTTAAACAAGTATTTTTCCCTTTTACTTTAATATTTACATAGTTGAATAATAGTTTTACTTTTATTTTACAAGCCTAGTTGAGAGTTAAATGTTAGATTTTGCATCCATTTATTTCCCTGAATTAATTTTACTAATACATTGGACAATACGATTTTGTATATTTTATTCCATTATGTGTACAGAGTTTGATATTTAACAGTGCTATTCCTTTATTCGTGCTGTTTTAACACAACAACTACTTGGGTTGGTGCTATAACCGTCTAATTGATAGCACTACCCTAAACCTCTGCTTATAGAGAGAGATGGTCATAGCTGCTCATAATCAATTTTATGCAGTGGATTTAAATATTAGCACGTGGCTGCAACTTTCTGATCATGAGTTCCATAACGGCAGCACGGATGAAGATACAGTTCCTATAGCTTTAGTAATGTATAAATTTTGTTTAAATTACACTTTTAAATGTTCATTCCTCTCTGCTACTAATTATCAACTTGGGTAAAAATAAACTCCATTAGACATTTGTGCTTTGCTTTAACTGTAGTGAGCACGGACAAAATTTTGATTTCAGAAATAGTGGAATGCAAGCTTTTTTTTATATATATAACTCTCGTATATAAGTTCAGCATGTTTTTTAGATGTTTTTCTGTGTTTCTTTCCTCCACTATCTCACTAATATACTTAACAGGGTTATTGAGAGCTTTATAATGTGGAGGAGGATCTTGAAGTGGATACGCTGCTTTATGGAGCCAGTGAAGGTGTTTCAGAAGGGGTGTTACACAGCTCTTAAAATGTAACTTACACTTTTAAAGAAGTGTCTTAATGCTCTCTTTTAACAGATATCCTGGCTGCAAGTCTAATAACCAATCACACACACACACAGACATGCACATGATACCAATTAAAATATTAATGTAAATGAATACATCTGATTTTACAACACTTCTAGTTTATGTGAACAAATGAGAAGAACAAATGCCCAATTTACAGTAGCAGCTTCCCTCACAATCTATCTTTTGCAGATCCATGTTCTTCTCGAAGACCATAACGTATCAGAAAGCAGAGTGTCGGTGTACTACGGTATATAGTAACATTGTTTTGGACTTTCTGCTGAATTAGTTGTAGTCAAGACCACACCAACCGAGACCAAGGAGTACAGAGACAAGACCAAGGCATTTAGAGGCATTGTGTTGTTTCAGTTGTTTCTCGGTTGATGTGGTCTTGACTACAACACTACATAGAATGTAAGTGGTGAACACAGTGTTCAACATCTGGCTTAAAAAAGGTTTTGTTGTTTGTATGATTATGAGGAAAAAGCCACAATGTAATCTAAAAAAAGTCCCAATATTAAAATGCTTTAAACTACTAACAATTTGCTCCAACATATGAGCCACTGATAGTGTGATGTTTTTGTAACTGGGAAAGCTTTCAACAGAGGATTACATTTCTGTGTTTCCCCCTTTGACACAGAAATACCATTGTATCCTTTTCATGTGCACTAAGCTCGAGGTCTTCTATCTCCTCCTCTCCTGAAATGCATTGATCCCTTCACACGTTCAGCCGGGGAATAGCTATCTGCTCTCTGTTTATCTGCTTAGTTGGCCCAGGTTGATCGCAGATAAGCTCATCTCTTACAGTGACACTGTTTTTTCGCTTCTTGTCAAAACATACATTCCTAACGTCAGGAGTCTGATGTTATTTTTGTCCTAATAGGAAACCATTTAACAACCGCTCTAATAAAACACAGGAATTGTGTCTATTCTGCTTTTTATAAGGAAAACAAGAAAGCAACAACCAGCGGCCATGACCCTATCTTTGCAACATGCAGTCAAATCACATAATTAATCTACTTTAAAATGCACAGAGAGGACTTCTGCCAGGGTGCACAGCTGACTTGCAGGATGACATGTACAGTATTAAACTCAACAGAGGAGGGGGGGGGTGGTGTTTTAGTTGAATGATGTTTAATTTCCATAACAGCCAGATGTGATATGGTCATCATTGCCTAAAATAATTTATAGAATTAGATCTAAAGTGGAGCTGAGCCATGGACAAAACATGATAAAATCAACTGTCTGAGGAAAATAGAAATGCAAATAAGCATGCATAAACACTTTTATTTTACTGAAACAGCACATGGTCAACTCTGTATCCTTAAAACTCTCTTCTGGTTCCAACATGATTTTTTCTTTCAAAGCTCCCTTTCATCCTGCATTATAAGAACGTTCCAATCATAGCATACTCCTAACAGTTTTAAAACTAGAGACTATAAAAGCTGTAGAAATATCAAGTTTCTGTTCTATTAGCAAACTCTATTCATATTTAATGATTTATTCCTAAAGAAAGTGGCGTTGGAGGTAGAAGTTTAGCATTAAATCGAAGGGATGACGGTTAAAAACCCCGTCTCTGGCTTTCAGTGTTGTTGTGTCCTTCGGCAAGACACTTCACCTGCATTGTTTACTGATGGTGGTCAGAGGGCCCGGTGGCGCCAGTGTACGGCCCAGGACAGCTGTGGCTACAATGTAGTTTGCCATCATCAGTGATTTAGTGTATGTGTGAATGGGGGAATGACTAGTTACAAGTTGAGCCCCAATGGGGCGTGGTTTATTAGTATTTTTTTTTTTAGATTTAAGATTGATAGATTTACTAGATATAGGAGGTATAAAAACATGTAACATTTATATGTTAGCATTTTGCCCCTAAATGATAATAAAAATTTGAAGAAAGAGTGCTAAATAACAGAAATGTGAAAAATATTCACTATTCTGCACCCCGAATAGTTTGCACAGAAATGAACATCTGTTACGTTTAAGCCTCACAAAGAAGAGGATGATGCTGTCAGCTCCAGGTGCATCTCTTAACATGTCTTGTGGAAAAAAATTGAACTTAATGTGGCCTGTTTTCCTGTTAATATTAATATACTGATGAAAGTCTGTCTTTTACATTGCATAGCATCACAGTCTCGTCACTGTGAAGCCTTAAAAATAGGAAGAGATCCATTTTGTTAAAAGACTGAGGAACTCTTCTGAAAGGAATCCCTCAGAGAGTTAATGTCTTATCTCTTTGGGAGACTACATCTGCTACCTTAAAAAAAAGACCAAACAACTCTGCTAGAAGCAGGCTGGGCCAATTGCAACGTTCCCCTCACATGGGGAAGGAGGGATACGCAGCTGTGCAGAGGAGCACGGCTCAGGCACCTCTATGAACAAATAAGCTCTCGGCGGCTGCTGTAAACATTTTTTATTGCGTAATGTAAAAAATTAGTTGTCCCTTTTTTGTTTACTCTCTAAAAAATGTGTATTGTCTATCATCAGGCCTCTTTTAACCATTAGGGAATTTAGAGGCAAAGCTTTAAAAATGAGGTACATTATGGGACTGTTGAAGATAAGAATGAAAATGACTAAATAATCCACTTGAACACGCACAGCAGCTGGTACCGGCAGAAAGATAGAGGAATTCAGGATAGTTGCTCAGGGCACAGCAGAGGGGGCAGTTATCTGTTCATTAGCACCTCTGTTGATCTTTTTTCATCTAAGCCACTGCCCCACCTCCAATAATGCATGGATCATGGTTCAATGTTGTCTTTTAGATAACATA